TCGACAGAAAATGTCAATAAGAATTTATTTCGTGATTTAACCAACTGATCAGTTTGCAAAAGTTTACAATTATAATAATTGATAACATGTAACAGTTACTTCAAAAGTAATAAAGATAAAAAAAAATCCACCAAAACTGCTGGAAAGGGAAGACATACGCTCGATTCCTACTAGACTTTGCACAACAATGTGGCCAAATTCTAATAGCCATGATTAAATTTCCAGTAAACCATGGCATGTCCTAATTGATGTCTTTAACAATTAAATAATTTTCCGAAACATGAAGGTCATACATGTATGACGATGTCGGTTCCATCGGCATCCGTTTAGGTAAAACTAGAAGCAGAAATATCACAGTCGATGCATTTCAAACGGAGTAAGACCACGTGTTCTAACATAAAAGTGCATATTCTGCTAGACATACATCACCTGTCATACATTCAGCTAAGTTCAAAATTATCCTGTTGCAAGCACAGCCGCTTGAGGCAAGGACTTTTTTTCTTTTCGTTGACATTTTGTCGAGCCTGCGACATTTATATCGCGAAAGCGAGACATAGCTCTCCTAGATTCCGTCGTCGACGTCGTCATCATTTAGGTTCAGTCTGTGGTTAAAGTCTTTTTTAGACATCAGTAACTTTGTCAAACTCTCATGGAATTTTATAAAATTTAAACAAAATCTTGTTTTTCACCAAAATACAGTATCCAGAGCAAAAGTTTGAAAATAAATATTTTCAGTTTCCCGTATTTAACTGATAAATGGACTTTTTTTATAGTTAACAAGTAGATACGGTCTGAGGTTAAAGTTTGTTACACGTCAATTTCTTTGTCAAACCTTCATAGAATTTAAGAAACTTTGGTAGAAGCAAGCTTTTGAAAATATGTTTTTTTTTTCCAATCTCAGTATTTTTCTGAAAGATGGTGTTAGTTTTTTTACGGTTAACATTTATGGAGTCAGGGATTAATTTTTTTTTTTTTTCGTTTTTTTTTTGCTTTATAAATTTTTAAACCTTCATTGATATTTATGAAACTTGGACAGAAGCAAATCTTCAAAACAAAGAAATAACAAAATTTTGATTTTTTATAAATGCTGTATTTTACTGATGAATGGACGTTTTGATAATACATGTATATCAATGAACAAACCTCATTCAAATGTTTTATGTTACTGGTCAAAATCTCATATTAAACGATCAGCTTTATCTCCTACGCCAGCTGCAGATGAAGGCTCGCATTATCAGAACGTTAAAGTTACAATGATTGATAAGTCTAGTCCGTATACTGACCATACTATTCAAAATTAAAACCAATTTTAGGGTCAATTGGTTTCAGAACAGGTTACATATGAGAATGAACATGCAGTTTATTCAAACATTTATAGAAATGCAAGCAATTGACGATAACTGTCTATTAAGAAGGGTTGTGCAATAAAACACTTAATTATTGTGGCAAGAAGTTGAAGTTTTCAACCTGAAATTCAACTGATGGGTTCACACATAGGGTTCTGCAGTACATTTTTTATAACTATAAAGCAAACATTTACTCTTGTCATATATTTTCAGTATTTTGGAGAATTTTACTTTTTTTAAGTTATGCAGCAGTTCTCGTGCAGGATTTGTTTACATTATTGTAAACGCAAAAGCGACATGATTTTTTTATTTTCGAATTTTCCTTCCCGTGGATCTAACATAACTCCGCTGCAACTGGCTCAATGCACTGTATAATAAATGTTTGCGTGTGAGTGTTCATTCATAATGTTTGTTTTGTTTAAAAAAAAATACATTACATGTATGTTTCATAAGAATCCATAATTAAGATTGACTGACAATATCATGCGCACAGTTTATAATATGAATCACTTCCGCTGTATAGTTGTTCTGTGAAACCTTTGTAATCGGGTTTTGAAGTCTCATTTTTCATTCATTAATATCGTTGCAGTATAATATGTAAACTCTAACGTTCGTTGTAAGCAGAGCTCTCTCTCTGTTGTAAGTATGAAAATAATATATCAGAAGCAATTTTTTCTCAAATTGTTACTCAAAATTGGCTACTTTATTTTAAAACCATTTCCCCATTAACTGTATATTTGATATGGTTAATTGAACACGATGATTAGCAACGAGTTCAGTTCAGTTCAGTTTCTTGCATATTCCTCCATTAATTGTGGAGCACTACCCATAGGGTATAATTGTAGCAACTATATACACCTTAGAACATAAGGAAGCATTTAATTATGTACAGATGACTGAATTTAGGCAATAATAATTATTAAAAATTAATATTATAACTAATTCATAGGATTGTCATCATAAAATTTTAAAAATAATATTCATAATGTGCTGAAGTGTAAGAATAAGTTCAGTAAGAACTGGATATATTTACAAATAAGAATTTAGAATTTAAGTGGTCTTAAATTAAACTTTCTTATAATTGTTAGTTAAAGGTGCTATACGTACATCAGAATTTATAATGAGCAGATTATTTTATAGGACTTATGTAAAAGGGTTGGGGTTTAGAACAATTCATCATATATACATAAGTTTACCTTCACAGTTTAAAGTTACCTTATTTCGGATCTTATCATTATTCTTTAAAGGTAACTGGATATCTAAAAACTTTGCAAATTTTTTTATTTAATTTAGGTCCTAATACGTCATAAAATAGTAAGATGGTAAAGTAGGGAACTATTTTATTTTAAAAAAGTTTACTTATACTGTACTTGTGTTCTAGTTTTTAATCCTTTTTGTGCGCAGCATGTGCATCTCGTAGCACATATTTCTAGCCAGAGTTTCAATGCTTTCATACACAGTTGAGTAACAGTTTATGTTCTTGCTAGTACAGTCCATTATGAGCTGCAGTAAATTCCCTTCTTGTATGATCTTCTTGTATGTTGAGGTATCGATTTCATCCATTGTCTGTTCTATTTTTGAGCAATATTTAGATCTTATTTGCTCCAATTCTTTGCAGCGTAGAATAAAATGTTCCAGATCTTCATTTTCCTGTTCACAGATTGTACATATCGGGTTAACTTTCGGATCGAACTTAGCTCTTTTGGCTTGTAATATGTACGTTTGAGTACTTATTCTTGCTTTTATTTCTCCTGCCTTTACATCTTTACTATTGTTTTTTACGCTTTTCCATATATTGTGTGCTTCATTTAATGGATTGTTCTGTATCTCTATGTATTTAAGTGATGTTTTTTCCATTTTTTCATAGTGACATTCATTTTTCCAGTATTCCTTGATCTTTATTCCTACTAGTCTTTTCCATTCGATTTTCTTAAGTGGTTTTTCTATGTAGTAACTACTAGATTTCAAATTGTATTTTGATAGAGTTATTTCCACTCTGTTGATAAAGTCTTTTCCTCTTTGGTCTGAGAATGCTATTTGTCGACGCAGAATTTCACATTCTATGGTTCCTGAATTTCGAACAATATTCATGAAGAAGGTAAGTAGATTTTTGTCTAATGTGATGGCAATAGGTTCTGCTCCTACCAGGGTATAGACAGCCATATTTGCTGTATTATTTGGAAGCCCTTGAATTTGTCGGATGATTTTTCTCTCTGCCAGTTCTAGCATATCCTTTTCTTTTGCAAGTAAGTTCATCACCTCAAGTCCGTAGATGCTTCTTGGTACTGCATATGTTCTCCATAGCTTGTATGCGACCATGGGTGAGAATCCCCTTCTGACATGTAAACCGGCTCCGAGAAGGCTGTATATTGTTGCCCTGCCGGTTCTTATTCTTTCAGAGATATTTGCCCGGTTTTGCTCGTTTCTTTTGATACCTAGATGTTTGGTTTCATTGGTTATATTGATGTCATCGTCTTCGAATTGCAGTGTTGTTATGTTTGAGCCTTTTGCATTATATAAAACTGCTTCAGATTTAGTAGGATTGATTTTAACTAGATCTCTGCTTGTATGGTGCTGTACTATGTCTAATATTCCTTGTGCGTCTGCAGTACTATTTGCCAGGACAGCAATGTAATCGGCACATGTGGGTGCAGGGACTTGTATATTACCAATACATGCTCCAAGTCCACTTTTTAAAATGCTATCCAGTATGACGTTGTTGTAGCATTTATATAGCGTTGTGGATAGTTTTGCACCTTGTTGAATTCCTTGTAACACCATTACATCTTCTGTACATTGACCTTCCCATTTGACCTTAATGCTCATGCCTTTATACATGTTTCTCAGTAGTATCCAGAGTTTTCCTTTTATTCCATAATGGTACAACTTGTTGAATAGTATTTCATGGTTTAGTTTGTCAAATGCTTTTTCTGCATCAAGAGTTATTAAAATCATCAGTATCTTTAATTTCTTACTTTCTTCGATTGCTTCTGATGTGAGGAAAGCTACGCATAGTGATGATACTCCTTCTGTAAAGCCTCTCTGCAAGGAGTTTTGTATGTTATTAAATACAGAGTCAACTCTATCCTTCAATATACTTTGTAATATTTTTGCAAAGGTTTTAGTCACAGTTATTCCTCTATAGCTAGATGGTAATGCTTTGTCTTTTTCTTTCTTTAGGATTGGTGTAAGAATCCCTGTCTTTAGGAAGATTGGTACATCCAGATATGTTAAAATTAAATTTAGCAAATGTACTATAAAGGGAGTTAACTCATCCATCCCATATTTGTAGTGTTCTGCCGAAATTCCATCCTCATCTGGTGCTTTTCCTGCTTTTTCGAGTACCAAGTTGACTTTTGGCACAGGCTGATTGAAAAGTCAGTTGATTTCATTATTAAAGTAACTGTTACTACCAAACTCCTTAATATATCCAAGGATTTGGTGCTCCTAAAACATCGTCTTTGTGTCCTTAGTGTCAAAACTTTGTCTCTAATGCTGAAAAGAATGGTGATCTTCAGTCTGTTAAATGTCTGTCCAATCCGTTGTGTAAAATGAGACAACATATTTATGCTAATTAATTAAAAGATATATTCAAAAGTATTAAAATTAAAATTCATTTCTGATTTTTAATATTCTGCACTATGCAGATTGTAAAATCAAGAACACGATTACAAGTGTGTACAAGGTGACATGTACATGTAAATTTCATATTTTACACTACTCACGTGTTAGCCTTAATACACATATAAACTTTTTTATGTTTCTATAAATGTTTTATGGATTACAGTATGAAACATGGTTTTCAGTGTATAAGTTTATAATACGCATACAAAGAAACAGGACTGAAGAATTATTAAGCATGACATCTATACTAGGACTTTATATATATACAGTTGAAAGTGACATCAACTATTAACAATGACAGATAAGGCAGGATGTAAGTAATTATTCAATATTTTATATAAAGTACAATTATTTAAAGGTCCATTTGAAATGTAAGATACATAGTAAACAAACGATAAAAACTGGGTAACAAACAAATGTAATATTCGGAAACCAAATATTTTCAAATGCTTTCGTTGTGCATGATGATGATGATCTCGATGGGGCGAATTTATATATTATTTTAAAATATGTAAGGGAGAACTACTATTTAAATTCAAATCCATCCTATTTTTGATTTTTTTTTTTTTTTTGGTCCTCAGTGGATTAAGGGGTATTTATGGGGTTTCACGGGTGAAAACGAGATATTCAAGCGCAGTTTTCGTCAATTTTCCTGGTATCTGATAACCTATTCCGAAGAAAGGGGGACCCTTCCCAGTTCGGAACAGCCCGTTGTCATTTACTAATATGAAATAAGATGAACCGTTTTTTTTAAGTACATTTTTTGTTGATTCAGTATATCTTTTAGTTGTGTATTACAAGTATAGCGGTTGCTACCAAGATGATGATCAACGTTTATTTGACGACGGACCCCATTACAGTGGCAATGAAATGTCCTCTCAAATTTGTTTTCAACACTGCAGTTTCAGTGGAAAATTTGAAATAAACAGGTTCTTTGCTACCTCTGTAAGTATAGCATATACATGTAAGTTACATGTTTATCCATATTTAAATAATTACATTACATATATGTTTCATTATAATACGTTATTTTTTATTGGCTAACAGCAATCTCGCGTCATTCTGAAATCAACCTTCATTTCAAAATGAAATGTAACATTCATGATGACACGAGCTTCCACAATAAATTTCACAGGTAAATAAAAGAAAAACTTGATAGAAATCGTTTTTTTCGTGATCCTAGCAAAAAATGTAATTATAAGTATTGAATGCTTCTTTTAGTAACTTTAGAGAGATGAAAAGGCGTTGCCCGTGCGCACATTTTAAGAATGAAGCGCTTCCGTGCTTCATAAAAAATGTATTTCGGTCAACGCTTTTACACCTCAATAAATTTACAAAAAGAAGCATTCAATTCTTAAATGAAGTTTTATATTTAAAAATAAGAAGATGTGGTATGATTGCCAATGAGACAACTCTCCACAAGAGACCAAATGAAACAGAAATTAACAACTATAGGTCACCGTACGGCCTTCAACAATGAGTAAAACCCATACCGCACAGCCAGCTATAAAATGCCCCGAAATTGTACATTTATCATTTAATCAAAAATGGTAAACGGTCTATGTGCACAGATAAAATTATTAATTGGTGTTCTTTTCGAACAGATAACTAATTTGAAATCGGTACCTTGATGAACACAGGTCAACTGTGTCGTCAATCAAAGTTAAAGTATTCAATTTAAGAAAACATACAGACACCAATATGAGACGGTTGACTGTTATTCAATATCTGTGTCACAGATAATAACAGATATGTGCAAATTGTCTTCACTGTTCCCCGCCATTTTTTCGTCATCGAGTGAGACTCATCCCCGAATGTTTACTTACCATGAGCAACACGAAGGGTTACATGTGGAGCAGGATGAGCTTACCCTGCCGAATTACGTGATACATTATCATGTCTCAACTCAGTTTTTGCTCAGTCTTTAGATTTGTATGTAGTGTTTACCCGCTGCAATTGTTTGCACCTGTCCTAAGTCAGGAATCTGAATCAGATGTTCAGTAGTTGTCGTTTGTTGATGTGGTTCATAAGTGTTTCTCGTTTCTCGTTTTTTATATAGATTAGACCGTTGGTTTTCCCGTTTGAATGGTTTTACACTGTAATTTTTGGGACCCGTTATAGCTTGCTGTTCGGTGTGAGCCAAGGCTCCGTGTTGAACACCGTACTTTGACCTATATTGGTTTACTTTTATAAATTTTGACTTGGTCGGAGAGTTGTCTCATTGGCACTCATACTACATGTTCTTGTATCTACTTTGTAGAAAGTAAAAATAACAAAAACACCGAACTCCAAGAAAAATTCAAAACGGAAAGTTCCTCATCAAATGGCAAAATTAAAAGGAAAACAACTGTCATATTCCTGACTTGGTACAGGCATTTCCTTATGTAGAAAATGGTGGATTAAACCTGGTTTTATAACTAGCTAAACCTCTCAAATGTATGACAGTCGTATAAAATTCCATGTAGTCTGTTGAATGTATTTTATTCTTCGTTCTTTCGTTCCATAGATTCCAGGTATTGACTTTATGATGACCTTGAGTCATTTTATTACTTACTTTTTTGTCCTTCAGTTCTTTATGATAGATAGCTGTGACATTGGAAACCTGAATTCATGTTCATATCTAAAACACAAGAAATTTCATTCTGTTACTGAAAAAATCGACCATCTAATCGTTGCCAATGCATCAAATATATATAACAAGAACATGCATTGTATGTTAAAACATTTTACCACATTAAAACTATACAACCACATAATGGATTATTACATGCATTGGCATGTATGACTAAGTTATACCGATGCATTTTGACTTCTCAATACTGTCTTCTTTTTAATGAGTAACATACATCAAAATATGTCTTATTAAAGTATATAAACCAATATTGATATCTACCATTACATTAGTTTATGTTTCATAACTAACGTTTGCGTGTTTCTTTTCTTTTGAGAATAAAGTGTTTCCAGGTATACTAAATATATCTCAATATAATATATTACCTAACGGTTACAAATATATCAATGGAAAATTGGAAAATTGGAAAATTGAGGTCTTCACATCTCTTTAAAAAAGGAACATTTGATCTCTGACTTATAAGAATCGATTTCAACCGTTGGTAGTGAATTTCAATGGTAGACAGACTGACTAATGTCAAACGTTGAAAGTACCCTTACAAGCGTCATAGTGTAATGTTTCATTAAACTCAATTTAAATTAAGGAAATGTGGCATCATTGCCTATGAGGCAACTATTCAATAGCGTTCAAATGAAGTGGACTTCAACTATGTACAAAACCAATACCGTATGATCCCGTATCAATAGTGTACACACCAACTTACATGACTTATCAACCCAATCAAAGTAAAATCTTAATGAGTACAGAAACAGCTTTATTTATTTGTGAAGTATAGTTAGCATCATTACATTTCATAGAACAAAAGTTCTTGTTATTGTGGTAGTGAAGAAGAACTCGGATCTTATAAATACCAAAAGCGGGAGGATTCCGAATGTAGCATGGATTGTACGGGACATTTGGATGAAAAATGTGGAGCTGTGTTGCGGGCCTCAGTTTATGAAATTTGCATAGGTGAGGATAATTTAAGTCAGTCTAAAATACTATGATAAAAGATAAGTATTTGTACTTTATTGTGACATATGTCACACTCATATTAATGTTTCATTACAAATTTATGTGTGTGTAATTTACAAAATGATTGATTTATGTCTACATTTACACCATCGTACAGTTTATGTATTTTGTACTGGCAGTATCTTCCACAAATATGTTACAAGAGCCTGGAGCCATTTTAATGTTTGTATCAGTTTTTAGAAAATCCATTTCAACACTTTTGCTGGAAATATAAATATGTATATTGTTTACTTGAAAGTTTAATACGTTGCAGAGACATAATCCAAACATAACAATAAACGGACGCCAAAACCTGCTAAGATACATCGAAGATCGGTTATAAAAAGTTAAAACTCTTAAATAATTATTCAATCGAAATTTGTCAGGATGCATTGATGGATTTGTGTTTAACTTCATGGGGCAAATCTTACATGCATTCCAGGAAGTTTTATGCATATGAGTATATATTAAATAGTTGTCTCGTCGGCATTTATACCACATCTCCTTATTCACTAATGAATCCTCGCAGGAATTAATGCCAATGTAGTATCAAATACAAAAAACACTATCTACCGAGCTAGTGCCATTTACCTTTTGCGCAGAAAATATGATCGGTTCAAATTTGCATGTGTACAAAGAAGAAAATTATATTTTGAACACTTTTAAAAATAATCTAAAGGTGTAAATATATTGATTGATGATACCCGATATCGTTTAAGTTTTTCAGTTCGTACAAGGGTTGACTGGGTACAGACAAATGGTCACCTAGCCTCTCCCGTTGCGACAGCAAAACACTTACTTAACAAGGAGTGCGTGTGACTGTGCGGGATGTAAGAATACGCATTCACGTCGGGTCAAAATGGGAATCTAAATCCGATTGAGTGCCACCGTTATCGAACCAGCAACAACTCTTGAAGCTGATCAGTGCAAGGCAAAATTTCGGCCACTGTCCGGGATACCCTGATATTGAGTGGCAGTACTTTCCCACCCTTCAAACAGGTCGATCTACCTTGCAGAACATAATTAAATGTACATGTATTGTATTAATTGTTAAATCATTTTCGTCCTGATTATACATGAAATAACTGCCACTGGACGTTAAGCAAGCAACAATCAATCATTCAATATGTAATAAATATATGATAAAATTCTATCCTTTGGTCTCTGTGCCTTTTTTATCACTATAATCATTTAGCACCCACTTCTTTGTAGCGAAACCTCTTCAGAATGTAATTTTAGTTCGAGGAATTAAACTTGTATGACGTTTATTGTTATACAGTTTGGATCAGTTATTATATAACCTCTCTTAAATTCGGCCAGGGACTGTCAGGAAAACTGTCCTAGTTAAGTCGTTAGATGAGATTTCTTGACACCTTTTTCTACCCTAGATCATTTTTGTACAGTTCTAACTAAGAATAGATTTTGACGTTTAATTCATTTCATTTATTGCATTAGTCTTATTAATTTTATTTGTTTATTTCTTGTTTTGTCTCTTTCATTTGTTCATTTTTCTTTTATTTTAGTGGTTTACTATTTATCAATCGATTGATCATTAAGTATAATTGTTTATTTTTTTGTTGTTGAAATTATTATTATTATTTTTTATAGTGATTAAGCTTCTAAACTTTAGCTTACATTAGAAAATATTATACTAAATCACATAAGATTGTATAATGTCAGGTTTACTCGGGACACTCCCGGTGAAAATAGTATTGCTGCTGTGTACTAACGCCAAACTATTTTACCTGTAATAAGCGCTCCTCGTATATTGTCTTTCTGAATACTTAGGTTGACTCAAGACGACATTGGTGGTATTGAGACATACCGAATTCCCCACTGCTTGAGCATTATTATATACAAATAAAAATATCTCTGATTTAAAATTAATTCAAAATATGGATAAAAAACAGAACTAACTTAAACTTAATGATATATTTTAATTTTTACTATTTAATAATATGACGTACAGGGAAAATAAAAGCTGGCTGTAATTTTCTGTTCTACATGTACCTTAGAAATGTTAGAATAGATTCCGACATTCTATCCTGAAACAAATTTGGATAGTCCCACCCTTGAACAGGTTTGCACAGTTCTACATAAGAACTAAAATGACAATTATGACAGTTCTCTGGTGGACTGAGTCCCCGAAGGTACACGTATCACTAGTAGCCCAGTAGCCAGTACTTCGGTTCTGGTATGCAAATACGAATATTGTGTTATTAAAATTTGTTGTGCAATTTTTTTTTTTTTTAATTTGGAAATTATTTTGAATTAAGGAAGATATCTCCATCATGCTACGCTCTGATTCCTTGTCCGACCTTTGCTATACTGTTTGTCCTTTTTCAATTTATATTAAACTCTTCATCTTTTTTAATAAGTTTAATATTTTCAAGTAGTTTGGCCTCTAACATCACTGAAAAAACATTTATTGTCGAAATGCGCATCTGGTGCAGAACAATTGGTACCGTTAATGTTATTCTATCTAAAAGCTGATTATGTCAGTTCTACCTAAGAATTGATTATGTCAGTTCTACATAAGAACTGATTATGACAGTTCTACCTAAGAATTGATTATGTCAGTTCTACCTAAGAATTGATTATGTCAGTTCTACCTAAGAATTGATTATGTCAGTTCTACATAAGAACTGATTATGACAGTTCTACATAAGAATTGATTATGTCAGTTCTACCTAAGAATTGATTATGACAGTTCTACATAAGAACTGATTATGACAGTTCTACATAAGAATTGATTATGTCAGTTCTACCTAAGAATTGATTATGTCAGTTCTACATAAGAACTGATTATGACAGTTCTACCTAAGAATTGATTATGTCAGTTCTACCTAAGAATTGATTATGACAGTTCTACATAAGAACTGATTATGACAGTTCTACATAAGAATTGATTATGTCAGTTCTACCTAAGAATTGATTATGTCAGTTCTACATAAGAACTGATTATGACAGTTCTACCTAAGAATTGATTATGTCAGTTCTACCTAAGAATTGATTATGACAGTTCTACATAAGAACTGATTATGACAGTTCTACATAAGAATTGATTATGACAGTTCTACATAAGAACTGATTATGACAGTTCTACATAAGAATTGATTATGACAGTTCTACATAAGAACTGATTATGACAGATTTACATACGAACTGATTATGACAGTTCTACATAAGAACTGATTATGACAGTTCTACCTAAGAATTGATTATGACAGTTCTACATAAGAACTGATTATGACAGTTCTACATAAGAATTGATTATGACAGTTCTACATAAGAACTGATTATGACAGATTTACATACGAACTGATTATGACAGTTCTACATAAGAACTGATTATGACAGATTTACATACGAACTGATTATGACAGTTCTACATAAGAACTGATTATGACAATTCTACCATAGAACATATTGAGGGTAAAACTGGTGTAGAGTAGAACTTTTATGACAGATTATTATGACAGTTTAAAAAAGAGGTTAGATTTGACCCGAACTGCATTTCATAACATAGACGTATTTAATTATATCATTGTCACTAAATGATCTTGGTGCTCAAATGACTGTCCCAGCACGGGCTTATAGTGTAGTTCAGGAGCTTGGTGCACTAAGGCGGCAGCGATGGTAGTAAGACATACCGAATTCTATTTGATCATAAATGTGTTACACGTTGTTCTCATTCTTTAAGTTAGCTTAATTAATATTGAATTATTAATCTAATATTTAAATTTCCATTAAAAATGTATATGTAGGGAATGCATCAGAGGTTCAGGAAGCAGAAGCAGCTCTGAACAGAACAATCCCCGTTAGCAGTGATGTATCAACGACCCAATCATACCATGGTCTTACAAGACACGACGGTGATACAGGTACGCTGGTACATTTTGTAATATTTATAAGTATTGAACTACTGTATTATTGGCCGTCCCTACAATATGAAATCCTTGCAATATTTAAACTCAGCTTGGACAATACTGAACAACCATCACGGATGTATTTCTACCATGTTACATGTAGACTGAAAATGTACAAAAGAGTAAGGCATCGAGGTCTACGTTGGCCCACACATATGAAGTTTTTGAAAACTACTTTAATTCTGTACTGTATGTGGAAAATACATAAGTTCAAGAAATTGAATCTATAAATGAATTGGACACAATTTTCAAAGTTGTGACGTTGTAATTACTTCAGAAAATTTCACGAAACGAAGAAGACTAATGATTTCATATAATATTTCATATAAAATTTAGAAAATGTGGTATGATTGCCAATGAGACAACTCTCCAACAGAGACCAAATGACATAGAAGTTACAAATGTATCAACTATAGGTCACCGTACCGCCTTCAACAGTGAGCAAAACCCATACCGCATAGCATATTGCGTTTTTGTAGAAACACCGTGCATAGCCAAGAAAGAACAAAATAATTTTAGGCATGATTCCTTATACTTTATTACACAACCCCCAAAATATTAAGTTGTTTTGTTGGTGTGCATAAATTATAATTTTCTAATCGAAAATATACCGAACAGTTGATACAAATAAAACCAAAATCGTCAAAGTTAAAAAAAAATATAGTAGACTTTTGCCATCATGGTAATTCATCAAAAATAATGTATATCAATTTATGTTTTCTTTCATAGCAAATTTCACCTGGCTTACTTTAAAAGTTACAATAATTAAGTAAGATCCTTTTAAAAAAGCTTAACTTGGAAATAACATGATTTATTGCGTCTACACCTTTTCGCAGATTTTACCTCACAATAGTTATATTTATGGTATACATTAATCAATTATGATTATTTGAACAACATAAATGGAAAAAATATTGAAAGAGAGTTTATTTTTAAAGAATAACTTCATTAAACTACACTATGGAATGAATAACATCTCAATTTAAGACTTGTCGATATAAGTATAGACTCATTTATATCATTATTGAGCTTTCGAGATCTGGAAGAATCAATGATATACCAACAACTTAGAGAGGACACAAAATTAGCAACAAATCAGGGACGATTTGTGTCTGTGGAACGATGCAACCCAACGCTACACATCATCTGTAATTTGCTGACCTTTCTCCTCCACCCTTAATTTTCATTCTGTGGTGAACCCTGAATCATTCAAGTAAAATAAATCTGTTTATATCGTTTGAGGACAACTAAAGATTTTATGAATATGATTTTTTTCAGAAATATATGAATTAAATATGGGGTTTAATTGCCATGGAGGCAGCAACCCTACGACATAAAATATCAAAGGACATCTGGAGGTCAACTTGCGATCGTCAACAATCGTCTTTTTATATACATAGACAAATATACATTAACCCGCTGCATTTTTATGCATCTGTCCTAAGTCAGGAGCCTGTTGTTCAGTGGTTGTCGTTTGTTGGTGTGGTTTATAAGTGTTTCTCGTTTCTCGTTTTTTTTTATATAGATTAGACCGTTGGTTTTCCTTTTTTGAATTGTTTTACCCTAGTCATTTTGGGGCCCTTTATAGCTTGCTGTTCGGTGTGAGCCAAGGCTCCGTGTTGAAGGCCGTACTTTGACCTATAACTGTTTACTGTTTATACATTATGACTTTGATGGAGAGTTGTCTTATTGGCACTCATACCACATCTTCTTATTTATAAAAAAGTTATGCTATATGTCGTACCGAATCACGAAAATATAAATAGTAACTTTCACAATCTGTCAGCGACCCGAAATGCCTAGAGGTCAAAACATTCAAAACCAATATTAACTAAAGACAACCACTAGTGACGATGTACCGGACTTTAGATAGGCACGTGATCATGTACATGTGGTAGGGTGTAACTCGTTTTTGGAGATCACGGTGTTTTCACAACTGATGTTTGAAAAAAATACGGAAATCTGGTATGGTTCTCAATGAGACCAAAGGACAAGGAGGTATATATAAATAAGTCCCCGAACGGCCAAATGAGCAAAACCAATACCATAAAGTAATCTATAACAGGTACCCGCCTTATAAAATGTGAAACAATTCAAAAAGGAAAACTAACAGCTTGATTTCTGCAAAATAAAAACAATAAAGAGAAAAATATGACAGACAACAACCAACAACAACCACTGTATTACAGGCACCTGAAGATTGTGAAGGGATTAAACATGTGAATGATCGCTCAATCCTCCCCTAACGGTGGTGTAACAGCACAACATAAAAATAAACTGTATAATTAAATTGAAAGCTGTTGGACTTATCAGATTGACAGGAAGCAAAACCAACAAAAAGACGAAATACATAGAGTACAGATCTTAGAGTATTCACAGTACTGAAAGCTAGTTCAAAAACAATTTCAAGTTTTAAGTTATACCAGTTTAATTTTCCAAGTTTTAAAATCAATCAATGCACATCATACGTATTTTGTGTAAAGACGTCTTAAACAGACTGAGAAATGCAGGACCTTGTGCAATGTCATAATATAGGTATCGATAGGATGTATGACCACATCTTGCCACGTGTTCAGAACTATATAGTATAACTACATCTTCTGTTCTTTGTAGGTACTGCAATTGGTATGTCAACAGTCCTTGTCTATTTACTCATTGCAAGTCTTGTATATGTATTCATACTTCGAAGGTAAATGATAGTATTACATGTAAACAATGTAAAAATTTATATAAAACAATTGCCCCGATTACACTTATGTTAGATGTCCTTCGTATTCTCTTGTTTATTACGTCCTGTCTTTTCACATTTTAGTTGTTCATTACTTAAAAGTTGACGAACAAAAAGTAACTGTGCGAGTGATTTTTTAGTACTTTTGTGTAAATTTTTGTCCTGCTTCTCTTTAAAACAATAGTTACTCACTTGTTTTAACAACTGTTTTATAAAATTAAAATCTGGTTATTAATGGGGACAACGTATTATTCAATTCTGAAAAAAAACACGTCTGCTTCAAATATCTTAAACATTGATAAAAGGTGGACATAGGTTGAGAGTAAATGAAACAATTATTTCTTTAACTAAAAGGAAATTCATCCAAGGTAGGACATTCAAACTTTGATCAACTTGTGACTAATATAGTTTGTTATATATTAAAAAAAATAAAACAATCTGTAGATGAATATGAAATAATGTTTAGCCAACATAGCATAAGTACATTTATATTTGAAAGAAACAAGGACACACAAACAATAATGCACAGTTATATCATATCACACTTCAAAGTACTTATTCTGCAGATATGAAATCATGTCGTCATTCAGCCTACTTTGTGCATCTTTCTAGTATACATTTGTTTGTATTATGAAAGTCTAGTGTTGTATACACCCAACCTATATCTGTTTACGATACTTGGCCTAATTTGTTGTTTGTTGCCTCTTTGAATTTATCCCCTAAAAGTACTGATAACAAAAACGATAATACACATCAATAAAAAAATAATTATACTTGAATAGAATGGAAACGAGTACTGTGTCAAAGAGACAACAACCAGACCAAAGAGCAGAATACAGCCCAAGGCCAACGGGTCTTCAACGCAGCGAAAAAATCTCGCACCCGGAGGCGGGCTTCAGTTGGCTTTAAGCATGTCTTAAAGAGAACAACACTTTATGAATTGTGTGCGTCCGAAATGCTTTTCTTGATGACCATGTATCAAGATGCTTACACCCAAACATTTGAAAGCCAAGGATGTATAAATATGTATGAATAAAGGCAACAGTAGTATACCACTGTTCAATAGTCATAATTCGATTAAGCAAAAAAAATTCCGGGTCACAAACTAAAACTGAGGGAAACACATCAACTATAAGAGGAAAACAACGGAACAACAGAAACACCGAACTGCAACAAAAACAAACACCAACATACATAGAAACGGACTATGTGTTAAGAACTTCCATATTCCTGACTTGAATAAACGTTAGGAGCTATATGACTAAAAGCGACACAAAAAGATCATTGCAAAATTCAAGGTCAACTTTGCCTGAGGAGTATCACAGTATTTTAAATTTATGAATCATTAAACGATCATATTGAAAGCTATTCATCTTATAAATAAGTCAACGTTAAATTCTAGATAAATAATTGCGGTAAATATAAAAACAGGAGATGCGGTTTGGTTGTCAATTAGAGAACTGTCTATACCTGCGCACGTTAGAACAAATAACAGATCGTTTTGTTTTGGATATTACATAGACATAACAATGTAATATAAAATGTCTCTATTTCTATATTTTCAGACCAAAATCATCAAGTCCAAGGAGACTTACAGAATCACGTCCTCACAACCAACATGTAAGGAACCACATTAGTGTTCCTCCTATGACAGATATTTCTGAACAGACGCTAATTATTCAGAACGAGACTCCTATATATGAAAACTTAGATTCTGTTAATTTCCCCACTCAAATAAGTGAAACATCTGTTTAAATTCATTGGATAAAATGATCCAAAGCAGGAACTAAATGTTGACACAAAAATAGATTGGTGTCGATGACTTTCCGTCAAAGTCAAGAATGAATACCGGAAACCAGGGAAGACTTTTCTGATAAGTTTCTGATGATATTGTACTTACTTACCTCACGATGAGGAAGTTCGGGCACAGCTTATTAATCATAAACATGAATTATTTATGATATCAATGATGTACATATATGTAAGAAAATTTAATTTAGTGTTTCAAAATAGTTTAAACAAATCAAATAAAAAAGATTCAAATACACATGGAAAATATACAGAAACATGAACCACAAAATCATAACGTCTCCTCGTATTATTACGAATTCATATGACGTACGAAAACATATGATCTGATGATACTAATATATCAATATCAGAGATTTTAAATTTTCAAATGTTAGAAGATCAGCTGCCTCTATCAAAATTCAGTTTTTGTTCACCACCAGTGTCAAATATCTTCAGTTGACAGGATCTCGATCGTCGGACAAATTAAACTTCCAGACGTTTACTATAACGATGTGCAAGACTGGTCACTGCTCAAACCTCGATTAACTTTCTGTGTATACTGACCGCGAAAATTAGTTCCACTACATTCTACAATGTACATGTGTGAAAAACACATGTACAAAAAGCATAATTCCTTTAAAAATTATACACGAACCACAAAGAAATTAAATCGTTAGTTTGAGAATTTAATGTTGAAAGCAGATGTTTGATTGCTTCTGTTTATTTTGACAATTTCTTTATAGACCCTGGACAGTTTATAGCTTGACATACATGTATTGCAATAGACACATGTGTCTATTACTGTGTGGTGTTAAGTTGAATATTCATCAGCGTATCCCTTTCATCTGCTCTTCTTCATAGTAATAGCATATGGAAATCATGTTTGCCCTTTTTACTATTTTTTTTCAATATTACGTAAAAGAAAGAAATTTGGTTTAAAATGCAGGGACATTGTTATCTACCGATTTATGTTGAAATATCACAAGTTGAGGTATACAATATACAATTCGATGTGTTTGTTTATTGGTTGTTTAACGCCACTTAAGTTTAGGGACCTTTGTTTTGTTGTGACGATCAGTTTTTATTGATGGAAGGTGCTTGGGAAAACCACAGTTGTCAGAAAGCTGGCAACCTTGTCAATTTAGGCCGGGGTCGAATACGTTGAGTATCAAGATAGATTCTACCTCGTAACTTGAGAGGCCCTTGATCACTTTAGACGAACTTCTTTGACCGTTTGACTTAAGATTCAGAATTACATTTGATGTATCAAATTCAAATTACCAGCTTTTTAATCATAGGTGCTTGAAACCATACATTGAATTAATAGAAACACAGATAAAAGAGTAATATTTGCAAATACGTTACCGAAGTACATTCGGGTTATGTTTCCATTAAGTGTAAGTTTAAGTTTTAGATTGCTTTTGGTTAGGGTTAGAGTTAAGTTTATGCACGGGTTACAGATGGGTATATAATAAGGATAAATTTAGTTTTATAGTTGTACACATGTATATTGATTTTGTCCGCTAAAGTAGATGATGGATGACCAGGTCAGTAGAAAAGATATTAACCCGGTTTGTATAATTTACATAACTGTAAAACCTGAGTTTTGTTAATTTGGGATTGGTGTTTATGTCGTATCTTTGGGTAATCTCTGTTAATCTTAATTTTGTTTATTTGGTGCTATTTAGGGACTAGTTCATGTTTTAAAAGGCACGTACAGATCTACATTGTTTTGTATACATGTATATGGAGATCGTATTAAGTTGACCTCTAGATGTCTTGTTGTTTTCATTGGTGTTGGATTGTAGTGTTTTTAATGTAAATAGAACATCAACTCTTTTGCATATTTCTTCCGTTATATATAACACATGAATATGGTAGCTAGTGTTGCCTTCATGAAAACGGCAAAACCGGTGAAAATATCAGACAAACGAGAGAAGACATGTCGGATCAACATGTATGTCGAAGTTGTAAAAAACCCTGATTAGATACGGAAATTACTTTGTATTGTAAAGAGGAAGTAATGCTTGAAGTCGAAGCACTTATGAGGTGAAGATTCCAGTCTTCCTCCTCAACTTTCCTGGAGAAGTTTTAGAGAACATATTGAACTTTATTTCTATGATTTATTAAGCGAACAAATGCTACGACAAATCGTATATACCTTGATCGGGCGTTATAGATTTTGACAATAGGAACTGAAATAACTGCGTTTGACATGGACCGAGTTTTGAATTGTTTATACATGTATGGGTCAATTGAAATGGGAATATCTAAATATGAATTTATTTTGTCTGTAGTAGCATCATGCTTACTATAATTTAATTCAGTGGGATACATAAGATTTAAAAATTCATCTATAATATTAAAATTGAATGAATGGATTTATCACAGTGAAGAATATTATATATTTTTTTATTTTGAGTTGACAATTTCCTTCAATTGATTAGCTCCTTTAAGAATTTTTTTTGCATATTTAATGTTATGTTATGCTATCAAACAATAACGCTTAAAACAATAATCAGTTTTGAACGATATGATTGCTAAATTTCATCGTAGTAAACCATCAAAATACGCGTGGTCATATTTGTTGCAACACGTTCAGTCTTTCATTAGAAAATTTGGTATTCACGATGACTCTGATGGCACAGGAAACAATAATACAGTCCTACACTACTTGGGCAAAAACTGCAACTGCCGAAAAACAGGTCATGTAACAAAACCGGAAGCTATACTAGAAAAAAAGGCTTTACGTAGAAAAGCTTATGAGTCAGCACTTATAGCACGGGGAAAGCGGAGCTAATGGCGGCTTTGAATCTTCTCGAAACACAAATGTAGGAGCTATAGAAGCCATGGCCCGTATCCTAGAGTACGACGAGAGGCAAGCCCCTAGCTATCCATCTGAGGAGACTGAAGACCTTCTCTGACGTGTACAACTTTGCCAATAATGAACCTGACTTTGTGTCATCTGTTGGACTTAACCTTGTCAAAGCAACCACCAAATACTGCTGTGCCTGAAATGCTGCATATCCGAGGATACTATTTCTCCAGAGATTAGAATTGTAACGAACAAACAAAAGCGGGATGTTTGTGCAGTTTTCTAACCATAGCACATAAGTCAACATCGGTAATTTAAACTTTCACGACTCCAGAAAAATATTGCTAGAACATCAGACTCATCAGGGACGCTTGAATAAAGATAGCTGGAAGACCAAACTACGCATAAAATCAACAAAAACAATAATTCAAAAATACAGAATCATGAAATTAAAATATCATATGACTGGAAACATATTTTAATTTGGTATTTTAACTTAATAGAAGTTTAAATAAAGCCCGAATTCTCATGTCCCTATCTTAAAATGTAAAAAGTCTATATTTGTACAGTGTTACGATTGCTATATTTTTTTATATCCCCTATTTTTTAAGTGGTGTTCAGAGGAAATATCCAAAAAGTAATCATTTGCGTTTAAGATATTTTTCATAATATATTGACTAGTAATTATTAAATATAAACAATGACAGACGAAGCGATACACATATCATGTATATCTAAATGATACAAGTTGAAGGAGAGTTTTGCGGAAATATTCATACATGATCATCTCTCGTTTCATAATACACTTGATCATTTCCGCTCACTTCAACAATTATCAAAACAAAGATGGGCGACGAAAGAGAAGGTAAAATCCATATTTATAGAAACGATTTATTAACATTACATGTATTATGAACACACATATGTATTAAATCAACTTAAAGCATGATGATGATGATGATGATAATTTAAATCGAGCAGTAAATCATAACGCTTTGGACTCCTGATGCAATAGCTCCCTTGTCAACATCTCTATATGAAACACAAACCCAAACATGAGAGACATTTACTCTATATTTAGGCGCTTGCTGGAATGTTGCTACTTAATATTGGAAAATTTATAATGGTAAAAGTGAGGTGAAAGATACCAAAGGGACATGATTCGAACTCATAAGTCGAAAATAAGCTGACAACACCATGGCTAAAAAAGAAAAAGACAAAAAAAAAACAAACAATATTACACAAAACAAAACATAAAAAACTGCAGATAAATTCAATTCACCACTTTGGTCGTAAAGATGACCCACATTGCGAATTTCTATATGTAACTGTGTTTGTGCTACCCTTTATTTCAAATTTATTTGGGATATATGAGGTTAACATATTCAAAAAATGTTTACTTGGCAGAGAACGTGGCACAGTGAACTTCCACAAGAATATAGATTGCCTATTGAAAAACACACTATTCAAATGTAAAAAAATGGATGTTGTCACTAAGAATATCGTGCATTTGTATGATATCAAATTCAGTGAACTTTTTGTTCGAATCAGAGAGATTCAAGTCATGAATAATATTCTAGTCTACAATGTTGGAGAATGCCCATTGACGAAGATGCACATAGACACAGGCTCTTAAGAGTCACTACACTGCCTATGGAATGATTGTGAACATTTTACACTACTAGATACTTTAAAATAAAAGTGAGTGAGAAAAAACATTATTGAAAAGAAACAAGAGGGAGGGTATCCATTCAAGCACTTGTGGTGTACTTTATGTCTAAATTTGTGATGATATTTTCAAATAAAAAATGGAATAAATTGATAATTTTAGACAGTTTCTCTGATAATTGGTTGGTAAACTTTGATTGGTTTCCAAACCTTGTCTGTAAGTCTCCAGATTCAAATTTTATCGACTAAAACCTTGTTTTAGGGCATTTGAATAAGTTAAAATTGATTTGGCGTACTCTTATTTAACACATTCCAGACGATTTATAGTATATATTCTTTTTTAGTGGACTAATGACAATATAATTCATCTACGTTGCGACGTATGTATCCTTCTAGGTAATAAAAAGTATCAAACACCACACATAAGTCCCATATATCTTAAGACTAAGAATTTGAAAATATCAACATCTACAAAAAAATCATGCATTGTCTAATTGCATTGCATTCTGAATTAATTTAAGGTTTAGATTACATATATGTTGGCTGCTACGATAGGCGTATACGAAAGAGGTTTGATTACAATTATAAAGAGCCCGATCGGGATAATAAAATGTCTCCATTAGTTTGTGTGAAACATTGCCAACCAATAGAGCGGAGTAAGGTTTTTGGAATAACGGTTAGTATATGTTAGATTTAAACGTCTGTAATTAATAAAATTAAGTCAGAATGAAATGATTAAAATGGGATGGTCTCGTTACAATCCTCGCGACTCCGACTGTCCTTGCGACTAGAGCATCTATGGCAATATAGCTACATGTAGCATAAATAAGAGTCACTTTGTTCCATTCAACCGCATCGATATTATGTTAAAACAAGAAGATGCTTAAAACAGCCTACTTTTGTCCTATGTAAATGTATGGTCTTCACTCGGTATAAAATGATTGTGTAATGATCAAATATTGCATTAAAGATATTTTGACATTCATTGTTTTTACAAAATCACAAAAGGCAGATGGCTCATTTACATTGTAGAAACATAGAGGTATTTGTTCAGTACAGGTAATAGAGAGGCGAAAGATACCAAAGGGACATTCAAACCCATAAGACGAAAATAAACTGACAATGAACTGGCTAAAAAAGAAAAAGACAAACAACAGTACACAAAACACAACATAGAAAACTAAAGACTTAGCAACACGAACCCCACTAAAAACTGGGGGTGATATCATGTGCTCCGGTATATTATCTTAGATAAAGAAAAGTATTTGAACGTTCAACAATTTTGGGTGATTATGTCCATACATTGTAATACCAAGGATTTCATTTCACCATACAATGAACATTTAAATCACAAATATTACCGAGACATTCGAAGCTTTTCTTTATAAAGAAACCCTAGTAAGGAGGTATTTTCTTCACTTGAAATTTAAAATTTAAAAAATCCTAATTTCACTTCAAAATATGATGTATTTCAGTTTTCTTCTACAAAAATGATTAGATGTATATACTTTAATGATTACAGCGTGGTGACATGTGCATGTGTGGAATATTGTACCGAAAGTGGCATTTTCCATACACCTTCGATACGCTCGAGCGTTATAAAGAAAACAACACTGAATGTAACATTGATTGTTTTGGTAATAGAGGTGAAAAGTGTGGTGGTAGTTCGACTTATTCCATGTACAAAATTTTAACAGGTAAGCAGACGTGTATGAAATTCAAAGACAGACTCAATATTGGGAACTTAAACATGTATAGTCCTTCTATTTTCAATTTAGTTATCTGTTTTCATATACATTGCAGAAAATGAATATTGGTTGCATTTTAAAGAGATGACATTACACGAAGTAATCAACGTCTAAAAGGAAAAATCATTGTGCCAAAAAACCTGTTATTTTCCAAAAAAAATATACCTGGAAGATTTAAAAGGGCTTGAGAGACGAAGAAAAGAGCTCACATCATACACTTCTTAAAGAAATTCATATAATTTATTATGTTTTTATAATTTGAATTATACCGGTATTTAAACTATTCAATCAGCAAAGCATGAAATGTTAAAAAAATCACATGATATTGAATATCTTAACATTGAATAATAAAAATCCATTACATACACTATTTTCACATTTGCTAACGTATTTTAAAATATGGTTATATTCTGTAAATGTACGAGTGGAAATTCTGCAAAAACAAAATCATGTTGCTTTAAAGGTAGAACACTTAAAAGTGTACAATTTTTTTTACACTTCCCGCAAAAAAATGAAAACAACACGTTATAAATTTCATGCGTCCGAAGCGCTTTTTCTTGATTAAACTTCACCAGGAACGCTCAAAGCCGAATATTTGTAACATGTTATAAATTTCATGCGTCCGAACGCTACACGTTCTCTTGCTACACGTACTCTTAGACAAAGAGTGAACAATTTCATTCAATCATAATTTCCACAAAAGCTATACATATTGTGTAGCTTGAGTAAGAATGATTAAAATGATTAGAAAACGAGGTAAACAAGGTAGACTTAACATTAAAAGTTTACATAGAGGGATAATGTTTGGTAATACAATAAAAAAACGTAAAGATTAGTGCAAACCATTCAGTGATCTTAAAGACAAAAAGAATAAGAGTTTGCGTAATTTCAGTTGAAAAAACTATCACGACGTAGGACACGCCAAAATAAAAAAACATTTTTTTTTTCTTTGACATTGAGAATATAAATTTAATCGTAAGATATCTTGTGAAAAGAGTCGTTGGACTGTACATAAATGTTTATCTTATATTGGATTTGTAATTTTGAAGACACAAGTTCACCAGTGCCAACTTCAAACCCAACCACAGCATATGCACAAGGAATAACTACTGATGATTTAAATACAACATCTTCACCAATCAAGAATGGAAGAACAACAGAACACGGAATAAAAAATAGTGAGTATCATACTCAATGATAGTGAACATTATCGATTTTATAATTTTAAACAGTACAGTCGCCAACTTTCAGAATGACCATATTCGTTTTATATAAGACTATTATGGTAGCAAATACTATATTTAGAACAAGGAAAACTATTAACAAGACTCAATAGCTGTAGTAACCATAATTTAAGATAATAAATATATTAACAATTCTAACAGGATCATCAGATGTAAAAAAGCATCTATATCTTAGTTGAGCTAAGTTTCTATTTAATTGAACATAACGCTAAGAAAAAAAGTCTTGTTAAAAGTTATTTTCAATTGATGATGAGACGTATTGTATATATATATATATATATATATATACAACTCTAAATTGAAAACAACGTTCAAACCTATGATTGCGTTGGATAAAAACCGCAATTTTTATACGTGTGCATGCAAAACAAATTTCTTGTTAGAGGGGCCTAAAAACAGCACAAACAACATTTTCCAAAAGACCAAAAAAGGGAAAAAGTATATTTTAACAAAACGCATTTGACTAACAGGTCGAACAACAAATGTTCTTAAATCCTGCTGACTGCCATTGGCGATTGCCAAATAAACGGATCACCGATGTAATAAATGGATCTTAATTATAAATTTAATACTAAACAGAAAACAATTAACTTGCGGAAAAGATGGTATACCGCAAACAAAAGGTGCAAAGGTTTTTGTACACCATATCCGGATTTCGACAATTAATGTCTCTTCAGTGATGTTAGGAATCGAAACGGTATTTAGAAAGCCATACAATTTAAATATATATATATATTTTATATATGTGTGTGTAATTACAATATGTATGTACATATGTTTTCTCGTATTTTTAATTGCTAAAGGCTATATCAAATATCATGTTTTGTAGGTATTGTTGCAGGTGTTTCAGTTGGAGTTGCTTTATTTTTGATTTTGGTAATACTACTCGTGTTGATTAGAAAAAGGTAAACGAAGTTAATATTTGAACTATAATATGTGTGAACATTTGACCTGAATGTAAAAGAGTAACTTATTATTAAGTTTCCAAAAGCACTTTAAATACACAACGCATGTTCGATCAAACCTTCTTCCCAAAAGGCAAATATCGTAAATAAACATAGCATTTCAACAAGCTCGTCGTATCATGGCTGCCGCTAGACATTGGCTTTCTTTATTATGAAATTTAAATCACTCATTTGATTTAAAATTTTGCAAGGAGTATCATTTTCACCAGCCCAGTAGTCGGCACTTCTGTGTTTACAATTTAGTTATCATTGATTATGGTCATACCTATAAAAACACTGTTTACACAACTTTGAATTGTTCGAAAAACAAAGGATTTTCTACCCCAAGAAATAGTCTAAGATTACCGTAGCTGTATTTGGCAAAAACTCTCGAAATTTTGGGTCCGCAATATAATTTATGCTCTTCAACTTCATATTTTATCAGATATTTCTTATTTCTTAAAAACTTTACAGTTTTAACCATATTTTATTGAAATGTTTAAGACTGCAAATATTGTTGTTTTATTTTTGTAATATGCTACAGGTCAAAGAAAAATGTTTCAAGAACTTTGCAATCTAGTTATAATACAGATGAATCAGTGCGATATGACAACGTTCCACAGTCTATACAGGGGGCCTACAGCCCATATGCAACGCTTACTGTTTCTACTGTTTCTAATGATTGTTCGACCTATGACGATTTAATGCCCAAAGAAGTAACATATGAAAATACCGAAACGATGGCGACAAACTATGTAGAATTGGCTAAAAACACAGAACACAAGTCACGAAAGAAAAAAAGACGAAAAAGATGATTTAAGTATAAGATATACACGTTCTAGCAGTGACCAGCAGATGATTCTTTTCCAAGGAATTTATATCTAACATTTTCAACTTTCCTTTACTTGTTTTATATTTTGAAATCTTCATATTTTTCTGGACAATGGATTTAAAAAATTGTCGATCAAGACCAGTCCCATGTTTGTCAATATCAGAGATTACAATACATGAACATCTCAAATACATTTCTAACAAAATATTTATAATTTTTCTTTATTTCTACTCCATGATTCTTTCAGTTAATAGGGTGCACACGTTGAAACGTCTCGAGTCCGTAACTGATTATTATTAACATTTTATGTTTAATGTTTTGATGTTGAAAGTCTTTTAGATCAAGGTCCTAATACATATACAATAGAAACTTTAAAATATGTAGTGATCTATGATAATAAGGTTAATTTAAGATAGATTGTGGCAGACGAACTAGTTTATAGAAATATGAAGATGTGGTATGAGTGCCAATGAGACAACTCTCCATCCAAGTTACAATGTGTAAAAAGTAAGCAATTATAGGTCAAAGTACGGCATTCAACACGGAGCCTTGGCTCACACCGAACAGCAAGCTATACAGGACCCCAAAATGTTTATGCACACAATAGTTTACTATAGTATCTCAGAAACGGACATAATCACCAAAATTAAACCTTGTCCAATGAACCATCAAAATGAGGTCAATATAGGTGATGGTAATCTACCAATGTTCAATTACCGCCTAGCGACCACAAGGAGACAAAACAAGGCAACAAACAAAATAAGAGGGAATCTAAAGAACTCCATACGTTGCGAATCCCAGTACGTCGACAAGGTAATCGTCTCCTGCTATGGATACATCACCCACAAGGAGAATTCACACTCAGTCAAAATTTCAAAATTAGGAATAGTACACAGTCGGTAAAATTACAGATCAGACAACTGCACTGGTATCAAAGACCGCGAAAACATATCGCTAGTGAGTTGAGACATCGACACATCATATCGGTCTACCAATTAGTGGTGGTGACCAATTAGTGGTGGTGATGCTGGATCGATTTCAGTCGTTCTTCCGCATTACTCTGTTGGAGCAGTTTTTGTGTAAGGAGCACATTAATGTTAATGAAGTCCGTATAGTGTGAACATGCACGAGCGTAACGTATAAAACTGAAACATGTAAACGCCGTATGGCGTTGTTACTAATCAGAAATGGGAAGTGACAAATAGAATTATTGATATCATCCTGTTTGTCATATATTCTAGTTTGAAGTCGTCGTCTGTGTCAATATCGACGAAAAAATCAAGATATGAAGCAGACCTTCTGCTTTCGATTATATCATTAATCTCAAGTTCGTAATGATATATGGGGTATGAGCACTCATTTTAATTGTAATTAATTGACAGAACATTATCAATATCTGAAAGTGAAATCTTTGCAGAAATATGATACTGCAACAGTTTATCATCGCAACTCCTCTGAAACCCCACAACAGAATTTCATGAAACATTTTGGATGATAATGACATATCATGTAGATGTGCATATCAACAGGATATTATGTTTCATTTTTTTTATAGGATCTAAGCCACTTTGAACTTAAAGTCTTCTCCTAAATATACTACTGCAACAGTTTGTGCTCGCAACTCATCTGAAACCACACAACAGAATTTCATGAAATTTGGTAGATAATAAGGACATATTATGTAATTTGCATGTCGACAGGATATTATGGTTCAATTTTTTTTCTTTCTAGGAGTTAAGCCACTTAAAACTTTAAATGTTGGCCTATTAAATATATTACTGCAACAGTTTGTCATCGAAACTCCTCTGAAACCTCACAACAGAATTTACCAATGTCAGAAGAACCCTATCACACAGAAATGTACCTAACTAACGATCATTCTATATACCAATTATAATTGTTCCAATGCTTATAGAATCTGAGAAACAGACCTAACCACGAAAACTTAACGTTGACTAATAAACCATGAAATTGTGGTCAAGGTACTACGATGAATCATACAAAAGAAACATGTTCACCTTGAAATCATTTTGTATACCACAAAAATTGACCTATTGATAATAGTATCTGAGAAACGAACATTATCACAAAGGTTGACTAAACCATGAAATGAAAATAAGTTACGGACCAACTAAATTATACCAAACGGACACCTTGGACCACAAGACAGCTGTATACCAAATAAATGTACCTCAACCACATGAAATAAATAGATAAATAAAACGATCGTGACATGTTTCAATTTTTGTATGAAGGTTCCCTTTATTTTTCCAGATGCGGTGCTTGTGATTTCATTAGGAATTAAATACACATCGTAATGCGTCACAACCAAACCAATATAAAAATATATTGGCTTTCCTGCAAAGGTTATTACACAAGTGGCAACAATGTATTGATATGAGAAGTTAACAAAAAAACTTCGACTCTACACACGAAAAGCATTGAATGAGTCTCAAGTGACAAAGACTTTTTGTCAACATACAACTCATACGAAAGAAAAAGAAAATTATTTGAATTGGATGTGTCATATGTGAAAGTAGCTATTATTTTGTCACCAATCTTGTACAACTTACAAGGGACTGGATAATTTTACAGGAGACTATTTTTGTTTTAATTGATTTTTAAAGAAGAGCTGTGCGGAGAAGGATATAATCAACGAATTTTTTTTTTAAAGCGGTATTTTTTTTTTTAAATATACAGTTTGAAGGTGATTATGTAAAATGTAAGATTATGTCAAATGTGTACAATTGTAGTGCAGCGGAAATTAAAAAAAAAACAAGAAGTCTTTATTAATAATTTGCATTCATTAAAAACAATTGTACACATCGACGAATGACTATAACATTGTATAACGACAGATGAAACGTTACATAGATCGTTAACATTTATAAAAATACAATTTTAAGTGTTACATGTACATGTTCAATATTATCTCGCGTTATGTGAGGAACATGATCATTTCCGTCCACTTAAATCGTACGAATATACAAAAACAAAGATGGATGACAAAAGAGAAGGTAAATGATTTTGTTTATTTATAGGAAAAAGTAAAATACAAAGAAACCGAAGTCCAAGTAAAATTCAAAACGGAAAGCCCTTATCAAATGTTAAAATCAAAAGCCCAAACACATCAAACGAATGGAAAACAACTCATATTCCTAACTCCGTACAGGCGTTTTCTTAAGTAGAAAATGGTGGATTAAACCTGAACAAAACATGTATACTGGACTTTGCCGTGTATTTACATGTATGTTTTATACTGTGTTTAACAATACTTGTAGTTGTATTTGAACTTGAATTAATATAACTTTTGGTATCCGAATTAATGTTTTATTTACTTATACTGTGAGCTACTCCCCAGAACAGTTGTTATAGCAGGGTCGTCCAAAACCCCTGTTATATTTATATAAATCATACTTCATTTATTGTGTAAATACTCAATTAACTTCAAACTAATGATAAAGATGATAAACCAGAGTCAAAATAAAAAGACTTTACAAACAGCCACACGTATTTAATGTGTTAATAACTCGAGCACCAAGTATTCCATGTAACAGAATAACCAACCTTATTGGAACCAAAACGACTGTAAAATACAAATTATCGATCACTGGAGAGAGTCCTGCTTTTATACAGTTACATTAACAGGTGGTTGATTCAAGTGTTGAGAAACTAACCCCCTTTTTGTCTCACTAGAATAAAAAAAAAATTAAAAAAAAACAGACCAAACACCATAGAACATGTTTAAGCACTAACTACATAGTTATAAGTTTCGATTTGTTCAGACAAAAAATAAACTTCAATAACATTAAGATATAGGTATTGACTAAGCAAGTCGGTATATGGCATTTAATCTACACGGCTCGGGTGACCCTACTATACCCGAACGACGTACAAAATGTATGAGTTTGGGTTAATGGGTCATCCCGACTATGCAGAATAAATGAAATATTCCGATTTGATTGGTTAATAACTGTTTTAACTCATGACGCAAATCAATTTACATGAACGTTTTGGAAATATTTGGACGATATTCAATCCACAGCTCCTGGAAATTTTTTTCTTGTAGGATAAAGAAAGCGTAAAATACGCATTTAAGTAGTAAAAGGTTGGTAATAACTATTAAATTATAAACTTTTTTGATATTCAGGATTTCTTCGAAAGTGTTACAGTATTTGAAGAAATCCGTTTAAATGGCAGAACTTTGATTGTTTCTGTTAAAAACATTTCACAATTTTAATATAAAATCGTGAAGATCCAATCACATTAAATAAGTTTCGTTTAATTTGGGAAGTTAGGGATTTACTTGGGTCAAGTTTAGGAATTTTTGTCAGATGTCCGGACTCCTTAGTTTTTTTCCTATGATACCGGGTAAAATATTATAAACCATAACACCCATTTTCCTTTTCATATAACATGTATAAGACATCTATAGCTCATAAAAGGTCATTTACTAAAATTTCAGCAGATTCTAGATTTCTTTTTTTTCGATTTGGGACCCAAATAATACCAATGCAAAAATAAGGTAAAAGTCAGAGTCAGCCTTTTCTCGCCATTTTAAAAACAACAAATATCTCGAAAAGGAGCTCAATAACCTTTCAATATTTTTGAACTAATTTTGTTCCTTAACTAATGCTCTTGTGACTTATAGTATCAATTTTAAATTCTAGATTTTTTTTTAATTTCACCTAAGTACATCCTTAAACGACAAAAAAACATCGTAAGTTCTAAGTGAGCATTTGAACCGGCATAAACGATTTCTAACTTGACATATTGTTTAAACACCTGTCACACTATATGTGCTTAGGTGGGTTTTTTTTTGTCGTTTGATTGCTGTCTTTTTGGCGTATAACCTACATCTCCCACAGTTTAAGTTCCATTTGTACTTTTGAATCGGTGTATGACAAATATCATAAATGAAGGTTATTGAGTATAGATTAATTGATTTTCGTACCCTCAAGAATAGGCTCAGATGTACTTGAATTCATAGTGTAAAGTAAAAACAAAAACAAAAACACGTTTCACTTTTCAATCTTTAAATCCCCCCCCTCCCTCACCCCTAATTTTTCAACCTTATTCATTTTTAAGACATGTCCCATCTAAACGAAGTCTGATTGATATCATACTTTCTAGTATATTTTGTTTTCTGTTTTGGCAAATACTTAAATATAAACCTCATTAAATTCGTTCACAAAATAGTCACTTTCACGGAATTAATACTTAGAAATTCGTAATAGATTCCATTGAGAACAAAACTAATCCTAACCAGGTTTCAGCTATTTGCATACTTTAAGAAATTACAAAAGCAAATATTATCTTGTTTGACTTTGAAACATTGATTTCAGATTAACATTGTACACATAATATCATAAAGTGTTCTAAGGAATGAGAAGCACTTTGTAATCCATAATTTGAAACGACAAGTTGTATACAAAGCTGCTAATTGATAAACTATGCCGTAACTGCCAGGTCAGTGGCGGATTCAGGGGGAAAGGGGAGGGGTGCACTTTGATTGGAAAATATATCATTTAAAATTCTAAAATCGTCCTTATGCCAGATTATAACGCAGTAAGAACAAATAGATTTTTCCTATGTCATGTGTTAAACTTAATTCTAGAGTCAAATACATCGCACCGTTACTAAATGATAGCTTGCTGAAAGTTTTTCATATACCGAGTGATGAAAAACTCAGTCTGACGCCATGTGAAATATTTTACAGAATTTCTCAGTCTGGCGCGTCATGTGCCATTGTATACAGAATTTCGAATTTATTTCAAACTGTGCCACAATTAGGAAGCTTAATTACGCAAGCTTTCTAGACTAGTTCCAATCAATATTTGATGTTAAAAACAGTTATACCTTTTAAACAGGTTTATTTGTGACCGGTCTAAATATGTGTCTTCTAGAATTTATCACATCAGTTGTTTTTCCAATTAGAACCGCAAGCATCCTGTTTCTAATGTTATTGAGTAAAACCTCGTCTTGAACATATTTCAATTTAAAAAGCGTAAGTATTTCAAAATTCAAAGCGTTTAATTCAGAATATTTTGATATTGCTCAATGACATTTGAATCTAACCAGTATATATGTGGCATGATTACAAATTAAAAAACTATCCAACACATGTACAGTAAAAAAGAATAGGATTTTAGCAATTATAGGTCACCGTACGGACTTAATCAATGAGAAAACCCCGTACCATATTGTTAGCTAATAAAGCCACGACATGACAAAATGTGAAACAGTTCAAAAGCAAAAAACAATGACCTGATTCTCATGACAAAACAATACACAAAAAAAAAAAACAAATATGAAAGATAGCAGCCAACGACAACATCTGAATTACAGATTTCTGATTAGGGTAAGAAACTTTAGACTTATTATTATATATATTTTTAATGTCAAACTAGTGTTGAGACACCTACAATTGTTTCTCCTCGCATACTTTTGCTTAAAGTTATCAAATATCACATATAAGTTTCATGAACCTTAAATCGCATAATTTTTATAAACAAGTTTTGTATAACAAAATGTTCAAAATTTGAATTGTTTATATCACTTTATTCTAAATTCATTCCAGGTCTCGATTACACATATGCTGGGTGCTATGACAGATTTTTTAAATATATTAGTAACGTGTTTAACATTCCTCGCTTGAATATGTCTCCATTTGTTTGTATGAGACACTGCCAAACAAGATCGCCGAGTAAATATTTTGGGATAACGGTAAGCATTTATTAGTTTAAATATGTATGTTGAAACGTAAATTACCTAAAGCCCACTGGCAGATTTTGAAATCCAAGGATAATAACAGAGCAGGTACTATGATAAAAAATTGTACTAACATGAGCAACACGACGGCTGCCACATGTGGAGCTGGATCTGTTTACCCTTCCGGAGCACCTGAGATCACCCCCAGTTTTTGGTGGGGTTCGTGATGCTCAGTCTTTAGGTTTCTATGTTGTGTTTTGTGTACTATTGTTTGTCTGTTTGTCTTTTTCTTTTTTGGCCATGGCGTTGTCAGTTATTTTCGACTTGTGAGTTTGAATGTCCCTCTGGTATCTTTCGTCCTTCTTTTACAGAACAACACCAACTGGTTGATGATTACCTGCTGGCACATGTCTGCTTTCACAGTATTGATAATAATAACTACAAATTTGTTTTTTCTAAATTTCATATCAATTTTTCATTTTTAGCTCACCTGGCCCAAAGGGCAAAGTGAGCTTTTCTCATCACTTGGCGTCCGTCGTCCGTCGTCGTCATCGTCCTACGTCGTCGTTAACTTTTGCAAAAATCTTCTGCTCTGAAACTACTGTGCAAAATTTAACCAAACTTAGCCACAATCATCATTGGGGTATCTAGTTTTGTGTCCGAAGACCCAGCCTGCCAACCAAGATGGCCGACATGGCTAAAAATAGATCATAGGGTAAAATGCAAGTTCTGTCTATTATTTTGAAAACCGTAATGAATAGAGAAAATTGGTGAATGTGTTGATGGACCTTCGTAAGGAATTATTGTATATAATTCTCTATGCTGATTTAAAATGTTCGTTTAAGATATTTGCATTTTTTAAGGGATCTGAATAAACTTTCACTTCTAAGAGGTGCAGTACCAGTCTTTTAATTGTTTAGGCCTTATATGTATGAACAATGTTTTTTGGGTTGTTAATTGAATTTTTGATTTTCGGGTTCTGTGTTTCTGTCAAATATCATGTTTTCAATATATTTCCAGAATGTCTTTCGCCTTTATTTCAGTATTTGTGTTTAAGTTTTTTTGATTTTATTAGGTCTTTACCATCATTTTTTTTTCTTTATAATTTGTTTTCTTGTTAATAAGTTTTTGGAAGTTTGAATCTATGCTTTCATTTTTTTTCTTTATAATTTGTTTTCTTGTTAATAGGTTTTTGGAAGTTTGAATCTATCCATGGTAAATGCGTTTGTCTACCTATTACATGCAGCTTGGTTGGTATATAGATATTTTCTGTTGTTTTTGTTTTGAAGTAATTCCACATATTGCCTATATCTAGTTCTGACTGGTGTTCTTTTATATGTGTGTACGTTTTTCCCAATACTTTCCCAGTCTGCTTTCTTGCAGATGAGTACTTTGTTCGATGACTGTTTGGCTTCGACAAGACCTATTTCACTGAAAATTATATCATGGTCTCCTAGTGGTGATAATGTTAAACTTTCTATTCTGTTTTCTAGAGATGGATTTCTCATCCAGAAATGTGCGGCCGTTTCTTGGTGGTTTTTCTATTACCTGTGTGAGATTGTGATCTTGACGCATGTCTAATAGTTGATTGTGAATAGAAGGGTCTGGTTTGTTGATGAATTTTACCAGTCAATATTGCAGTAATTGAAATCGCCACTGAGCGTAATATTTGCACTGGATTTATAGCATATCCTATTTAGTGAGGTACTTAGATGTTCAAGTTAGTCACCTTTGTCTTATAGTGGTCTAATATAAGCTCCATAGCAATCGTTCTTGTTTTTAATGTAGATTATTTATTTGGATGGTGAAATATATGCATATGCATATGCTGATGTATCATGTGTGAGCCAGGTTTGAGTTAAAAGGTTACATCAGGTTTGCATAAGTCTATTATCTGATCAAATTCTGACCTATTGTTTTTTTATTGATTGGAAATTGATTGTGAGTACACGAAGAGGTAGGACTGTATGTTTGTTTCATTTTCTGCTTTATTGGTTTCAATTTTTGTTTATATAGTGGTCATGGTGTATGTGTTGGTGTTCCAATGTATTCTAAGTTATTTTCATTGGTGTTCAGGTCCAAGTAGCTATAAGTTGTTTCAATGGTGCTGTTGAAAAATTCCTGTATGGAAAAGTTTGGCAAGCAACATTTTTAAGAATTCCCCAAAGATGTTGCTATCACTTAGATTTTCATACATGTGCTTCTCAATACTATAATGTTAGGTTAAGGGAGGGTTGAGCGCTCACAGACATTTTAAACCTCGCCACATTCTTTATTTGCCTGTCCCAAGTCACGAGCCTCTAGTTCAGTGGTTTTTGTTGGTTTAAGTCTGTCATATTTTTTTTTGTAAATTGTTTGTTAAAAATTAGGCCTTTGGTTTCTCGTTTGAATTGTTTTACATTTTTCATGTTGAAGCCTTTTATAGGCGACTATATGGTATTGATTTTTGTTATTGTTGATGGTCGTACGGTTGCATATAATTGCTTACATTCACCCCATTTGAACTCTGGCGGATATTTGTCTCATTTGCAATCATATCCCATCTACTTATTTTCATATGTATATATTCACGTAAAGAACTTGAAACTATGATTTTTTTGGTTACTCGAGAACAAGAATTTTAAACAACATGCATACAAAGATGTTTTTTTTTAAAACTTCAGTATACATTTCAAAATGAATAAAACGCGTTACATAGCTTATTTTTAACTTAAACAAAATATGAGCTACTCTTTACGTCAATCGATATTTGATAACAGGAGTACAACTGACCATTCTAACAACAACTTCCGACTCCTCTAAAAACTCACCTAGTGGCGGACTTCAGCTGGCTCCTAAAAAAATATATGTACTATTTCAGAAAAATGGGCGTCACACTAAACTCCGAAACCTATAAAAGAACCAAAATTTAAAAAAACCATACAATACTAACAAAGGCCAGAGGTTCCTGACTTGGGACAGGCGCAAAAATGCGGCGGGGTTGAACATGTTTTTGATCTCAACCCTCCCCGTATACCTCTAGCCAATGTAGAATAAACAAACACACAGCAATACGCACAGTAAAACTCAGTTTAAAAGAAGTCCGAGTCCGATGTTAGAATAGGTAACAGAAGAAACTACGCAAAATACCTGGATTGTCTATACACATCAACTTTGTATATCTAGACCATTTGAAATGTTAAACAAAATAAAACATGCACAATCCATATGCAAAAATGATGACCGTCAAATTGAACAAGGATACGAAAAGACGGCTCACAATTTGGAAAGCAGGTCCATATTGTGATAGATAGAACAGGAAGCCTGCAGAAATTTTGCAATTTTAGTAGGCTGTTCATAACGTCTTATACTAAATCCGTTGGATGCGCACTGATTGATATTTTAGTCTAGAAAATATGATTTATTTATCAGTTTCAAATGACTTCGAACTAGCTATAAGTAGCTGCAAGTACTCTTAGATCGATCTTGTTTGTTTTTTTTTTTTAAATATCTTTTTATTACTTGTATTTGTTATCTGATAAGTTGACAAAACTTTGTAAACATAACACTGATAAATAAACCATGACAATGAGGTTAAGGTCAGATGAAACATGCCAGACAGACATGTAAACCGTACAATCATTCCATACACAAAATACAGTTAACTTAAATTATTGCTTGTAGTATCTGATTAATAACAAAACCATGAATACTTAACATTAACTAATGAAGCATGAAAATGAAGTCAAGGTCAGAAGAAACATGCCAGACAGAAATGTACATGTTACAATAATTCCATACTCAAAATTTAGTTGAATTATAGCTTATAGACTTGACCACGAAAATTTAACCTTGACACTGATCCATGAAATGAGGTCGAAATCTGGTAAATCCTGTCTGACAGACATCTAGACCTTGCAAAGTCCAACAAACTAAATATAGTTGTCATATTAATCATATTTAGTGAGTATATCATATGACAAAACTATGCATTAATTCACGCAATCACTTAGCCATTAAATGAGGTGAAGGACAATGTACATATTACAGATAAAAACGTCGTAACATAAGGTATCTACATACAAGGTATGAAGCATCACGGTCTTTTACTTTCTGAACTTTAAACAAATAGGCGCCGTCGCAGGCGAGTAAAAAATTACCAAACTCTTCAAACTTTAAAATCCACATGATGAATTATCTCAAAAACAAGCACGATCAGATTTTATTTTCAATATATCGTAGAATAACCGTTCTATTTTTTCATGATGGCTATTCAATCCAAACATTTTTATTAAAAAATTCTATTATAAGGAGAATATTATATTTCTATCGCTTAGGTTCAACATTAAAAAATGTACAAGTTTACTAAAGAATAAGTACTTTTATATTCTTTTATACACTGATATCATTACAGGGTGGTGACGTCTGTAGTTGTTTAGATGAAGATTATGAAAACCGTTATCGATACATCTTCGATGCAAATGGACCTTTCAAAGTGAACGACACAGAGTGTGGTATATACTGTTTTCGCGATACAGTTAACAAGTGTGGTGGTAATTCCACAATTTCTATCTACAACATTGTAGCAAGTAAGGAGATTATATTCTTTTATGAAAACAAATGATAGCCACTATGTAGAAAACTCAAACATCAGCAGTCTAACTATTTTCAATTTAGCTAATAGTATGTAGAATGAGAGAATATTTGGTGCATGGAAATGAGAGGAAATTTTATGAAAATCAATTTGTAAAAAAGAATAAATGTTTCTCGAATTGTGTTGGTAAAAGCGTAAACGACGAAGTAATTCACCTTCTATATGGTGTTGACCTATGAGTCAAGGGTATCTAATACAGTGAAAACAGCCAATTCTTTATTTTCGGTTAAAATTCCAAATGAACATATTAATTTTGTAAAAAAATGTTTACTTCCGTACCCCTAACAAAACAAATTATTATTATATTTAAATGTACCTGTGTACGTTGTTTTATTTCGGTGTGAGCCAAGGCTCCGTGTTGAAGGCCGTACTTTGAACTATAATTGTTAACTTTTTATTATGCATTGTGACTTGGACGGAGAGTTGTCTCATTAGCACTTATACCACATCTTCTTATTTTTAATAACACATATAGTTAGGATCCGTTGTAACCTTTCTTCCGAACTGTCAGACTTATATATCATAGAACTGTTCTTAACAGTTCTAGAACATTTCTATAGAGTTTTAGACCACTTCAACCCTAGAGCCACTGTAGGTTGAAAACTAGTACTTCCAATTTTAAAATGTTGAATGTCAACCCCCCGGTGGCTATATCATTGGTGCTTACATACATTTAAGTAAATCGTGTGCAAATATGTCTGCTATATAATGTGCCTTCATATTTAAAACAAACAATTTGCTTACCACCTTTAATAGGTCAATTTGGAATTAAATGAAACTCTCGAGTCAAAATAAAACAAGAGTTTAGTTTCTTCCAATTTTAATTGTTCAGCTGGATAAATTTTAAAGAAATATTTGCAAGGTTTGACCCGTGTGTATATCAGTTAAAAAATCAAGTAGGTTTCTTTGGATCTGCTGTTCGGAAAGAACGTTCAAATGTATATAGCCTTTTTATGCTTTATTGGGTTACGTCAATTTAACTATAAAGTTGATATACCTTAAACATGGAAACGCTTTCTTAAGCTTGCTTGTCTCCACAAAAGGTAAAACGCTATAAGTTATATTGAACACATTATATTGCTAGATACATGTATACATAAGAAGCACGTTGCATTTGCGTTAATTTTCGGAGAGAAAAAACAGTATCTATTTTGCGCCACCAGGTTATACTTCATTGTAGCCTTGTTTAAAATAAACATATTTAGGAATTGATCGTGATCGATATCCCAGTGGTGACAAGGGTTATCTTGTAATGCTGGAGAACAGAAGTAATTATAATAATAATACTTTATTCCAAAAACATATTCAGCTTATAGAATACATACATATAATGATAATAATGATACATGCACCAACACCAAGAATTTTTACAAAAGTTACAAATTATATATTAAGTATAAAATTTTTCATGACATACAGTATAATATATAACACAAGCAACGAGAGGATTTTATTTGTCCTTTTTAACTTTTTTGTTTCGAGCGTCACTGATGAGTCTTTTGTAGGCGGAACTCACGTCTGGCGTACACAATTTTAAGCCTAGTATCTGTGATGGGTTTATATACGTTGATGAACACAATATGTGAGAACATATCTACATGCAATTAAATTCTAATAATTTTTGCTGATTTTAAAAATATACCCAAGATATCTAATTAGTAATCATTTCTGATAGATAACAACTGAATTAATAGTTTGTATACAGACGATTTGTTTTCAATAATACTCAGTTCTATAGTTATACTTCATAGTTTCTATTCTGAAACAATTGTAGATCTATTGTTACGAATAACAAAGGAATTTGACCGCAGGGTGTAACGAGCGGTGTTTCTGGAAATCCCTGCTTCTACATCCCAAAAGCACAGTTCATTGTTATTCATAACAATAGAAATTATTTTGTTTTTCAAACGCACGAACAGAAGTGATAACTAAAAGTGTATTCAAATTGTCCAAAGACATATTAAAAAAAAAACAATTTCAGGAAATCCCCGTAGCATACACTTTTATCGGATTTAACTATATTTTTAACATTCACATTTAAAGTGGTATTCATCTTAAAAAGAGCATTCAATAGCTGCCTGTTTCTGTGCTTTAGATATGAGCTGATATAAGATATTTACAAATGTATGGTTTGTATATACAGTTTACTGATCTATATTCATAAAATTTAAAATCAGGTGTACAATACATAGACCCATGGAAATGACATTTACTTGAATTCACAAAAACACAGTTACTCTACTAATGAATGCACTAAGCATTTTTGCTTTCAATTGTAACAGAAAAATATCTGTAGAGCGACACTTTGGCTTAACCAAACATAATTAAATCAATATGTAAGCACAATGCCACTAATCTTACAACACCAGTTTTTTCATCATTCTTTTTAATAAAACTTCTTCCAAACATCTCATCTTATCTTATTATCATTAGTTTATTATTGGGACAGACGAACCATGGTTTGTGGCGCAAATGAAATGCCAATTGGTGCAAATGCAAAGCACCGATAACATAGGCACCAAACCTATGAGATATTCTAAGAAATAACTCATGCATTGTGTTGGCTACTTTAAAAGTGTATGTCATCTTTTTACTCAAAGTCTGTTATATATTGAGTTTGAATGTGAATTTCATTCTTTAAGACACAACAAAAACACCAGTGCCACCATCAACCCCAGTGACAACATTTCTTGAACGAACCACTGGTGGTTTAAACACGACACATATGGCTACTAAGTATGATGATATTCAAGAAAATAAAATGCAAACTGGTGAGTTTCAAATGCAATGATTGTGTGAAAATAACTTATTTTATTTTTTTTTTATATTTCTGTTGTCACATTTCAAAACTATCTTGAGGATTTTTGACAGTTTTATTTTAGAACATACCAAGTACTTAGTCTACATTAACTGAGATTCTGATTTTAGGAAGACACATACTCGACTGATTTTTACAGTTTCTGCTTATGTTTTGCTGTAACATTATTGTCCCACGTTAGGGGAGGGTTGAGCGATCACAAACACGTTTAACCAACCCACATTTCATGTGTGCACGTCCCAAGTCAGAAGCCTCTAGTTCAGTGGTTGTCGTTGATTCATCTCCGTCATATGTGTTTTTAGTAAATTGTTTTGATAGTTAGTTTTCTCAAATGCATTGTGTTGCATTTTTCATGTCGGGGCCTTTTATTGCCGACTATACGGTATGGGTTTTTCTCATTATTGAAGGCCAAACAATTACCTTAAATTGCTACGGTGGATAGTTGTCTCATCTGCAATCATACCACATCTCCTTATTTTTATACAGTATCTTTTAGAAAAAAAAAGATATATGGCACAAAGTATCTTCGTTACTTTATTAATCTTACACAAAACTAAGTTAGAGATTGCAGTTCGTCGAAACATACAAAACAGGATAACATAGTCTAATTGTGAATTGTATCTTTTCAATTGAAAAAGACTCAAATCCGACATTGGGAAGTCATGTATTCTGATATTAAGTTCGAGTAATTATTAAGTGCATGTTAATATGTTTACCTTTAGTTATTTTTGATTGCTAAAATTATATTTTGTAGATGTCATTGCTGGTGTTGCAGTAGGTTTGACTTTATTACTGATTATGGCAGTTCTAGTCGCTTTGATAAGAAAAAGGTAAATGAAATCAATGTTTGCATAAACTAAAACTATTAATCATTTCACCTTAATATGAAATAGAGGTAAAAGATACCAAAGCGACATTCAAACTCATAAGTCGAAAATAAACTGACAACATATGGCTAAAAAAGAACAAACAAACAACAGTTAACAAAACACAACATAGAAAACTAATGACTGAGCAACACGAACCCCATCAAAAACTGCAGGTTACCTCAGGTGCTCAGGTGCTCCGGAAGGGAGATATAGGCAAATCCATATGTGGCACCCGTAGTGTTGCTCATGCAAGTTCAAACCCTAAGTCTAATTAGTTAGGTCAATAAGACAATAGGTACATATCCGTTGTCTTTTGTGAAACTGATATTCCTTAACGGTCAACCAACTCGTGATAGCGTCCGTAAGATTTACGAAGAGATGATTTCGTCACTTGGAACTGTTGGTTTAATAGCTTCCTTGTGAGCAGCAACCCTCTATTAAGTTATTCATGATAGTAAATAAAAGCCCTGTTATATCATATCAACTGGGAGATATATACTCCGTATACAGTCGCTGCTGGAGTGTTGCTACATAGAAATGGAAATTTCGTAATTGGGAAGCTGAAATCAACTTTTTTGTCGTAAAGTTTTGTTTTCAATCGACCCGTATTGTCAATATCTAGATGCAAGTCAAGATCTGAGACGGACTTAACTGTATCTGTAGTATGCTGTATCTCAAGTTCGATGGGATAGATGCGTTTAACATAGTTCCAAAATTCTGAATTATTTAGTGAGAGAACATCATCTATAAAGCGGAAAGTAAAGTTAAAGATACTGTTAACTTCTTTTTTTTTCTTCCAAAGAATTTCCTGTATGAAGTCATCATCATATGAATAAAGGAACAAGTCGGCAAGAAGAGGAGCACAGTTGGTTCTTATGAGAATGCCAATTGTTTGTTGAAAAACACGTCCTCCAAACGTAGAAAATATGCTGTCAATCAAGAAATCAAGCATCTTGATAATGTCAGTTTCAGAGAACTTTTTGTTTGAATCAGATCAGAGTGTGATAATTTTTATAAAAAAAATATTTACCCCTCCCTAAGACAAGATACTTGTATCTGCATTGGCCATTCTTTTTTATGAAACAAAGAAGGATCAACTCTTTCAATTTATTTTTTAATTTGGAATAGGGAATACTTCTGTAAAGTGTAGAAACGTCAAATGTTTTAATACTATTGCAAGATGAAAGAGTCTTAGATTGTATGTACTCTCAAAGATCTTAGAATTGTTAGTATCCACATCTGTATCACACCACCTCTAGTTTAGGTATTTTCAGAATAACTTTGAAAGCTGGGTTTGATTGCTGATAAAATTGATGTAAATAATTTAAAAAGAGGTTTCGTGGAGCAGTTGGAAGACCCAGCAATACAACGTTGTTTGTTAGGACGCTTATTTAATTTAGGTATCTAATACAGTAAAGGAAGATCCAGTTCTTCATCTTTGGTTGCAGTTCCAAACGAACATAGAACAGACCTATGATTATCCAGGATTTCCTCCTTCGTAAGTCAAGCAGTTTTTGTAATGTGATTTACACACAAAAACGATGTTGTTTGAGGCCTTATCTGCGGGGACAACAACATATTTGTCATGGAGGAGGACAGGTGTTTTGCAATATTAGGGTCTTTAAAGATTAATGTAACATGGGTATTCATAGACCTATATATTTTTTTTTAATTCTGATTTGTATCAACGACCTCGCAGCCTCATACCATTTGGATAGAGTATCTACGTCTTCTTTTTCACGTTTAACCTGTCATCACCTACTCTCCATGATTTCTCTATGACAGTTCATTAATCACTAGACTTTAATATTATAGTGTATAAATAAATTCCTATATTTAAAAAAAAAAAGAAAGATATAAAGAATTAATAACAAATCATAAGTCGAAGAAGACACTGAAATAAAAAGGTCAAATGTTTAATAGATTTAGTTCATGCAAACTCCCAATTTTTGGTGAGATTTGTGTTGCTCAGTCTGTTGTTTTCTATGTTGACTGTGTTTTGTATACTGTTGTCTGTCTTTATATGTTGCCATGGCGTTGTACGTTTATTTTCGACGCAAGAGTTTGAATGTCCCTTTGTTATCTTTCGCCTCTTTTTTAATATTTATATCCTTATGTCAAAATAAAACAGAGCATCACATGCTGAATGTAATCGAACTATATTTTATTCACAATGCATGTTATCGTTCACTTAGATCTTTATTTGTTGAATTTTTTTATGGCATCGCATATTTTGTACTGGCATGAACAATGGATAGTATGTTATTATAATTATACAATTGGACTTTCGCAATGTTATCGTTTCGAAATTTAACAACGATATTTCCTATTCATGATTATTATTTTTTTTTTCATTTGTCTCCTTATTATTGGAAATTCGTTTCTCTAATAGTTTGATGGACGAGTCTTTTAAGAGACGTCTCTAATTTCAATGAACGAAAAAGATTTAATTTTAAACTTCAGCATTTTTAATCTCATCTACTTATATTATGAAAAGCTTCTAAATAAGTAATTGTGTTACCTTTCATGTTGCAGGTCTAGGTCAAATGCAAAAAGATCTTTGCAATCTTGTTCAAATACGAATGAGTCGGTGAGATATGACAACATTCCACAATCTACACAGGGTGTTAACGGTCCGTATGCGACACTTACCGTAGCCAATGATTGTCAAACATATGATGATCTAATGCCTACAGAAGGAACGTATGAAAATACCTCAACAATGGCGACACACTATGAAGAATCAACACAAGACATAAAAAAGCAAAGAAGGAAGAAAAGGACAAAAAGATGATCTTATCAAATTGATAACGTTCTTTGCTTTAACGGTGGGAACCAGCATGCAGCTGATATTTTCCCAAGAATATTTGTTAATTACTTTTGCAACTCTATTATTGTTTAATGATCCTTCGGATTTTTTTCCAGACAATGCATTTACAAACTCTCACAGCAACTGTTATGACTGTAAATACTTTTGATACACATAAATCGCAAAAAAACTTCGCACAACGTATTTTTCATTTGATGTAATTTCTAATACACTCTGCATACAGTTCAAAACAATATGTTTAGTTTTATGGTAGCATGCTTGTCTCGAATGTTTGAGGTTGTCGATTCGATTTCTTCTTTGATCAGTAGGACGTCTTTTAACATTTTATCTCTTACTTCTTCGTCCTGTTCGCGGCTTTAAGGTGCAATAGGTGCAGCTGGGTTGCCACCATTTCGGCTGTAACCAATTCTCGAGTTTAAAAGTAAACTAACACAAAATCTTAAAGTAATTGTCGTTGTTGTAGCACCTTTTTGAGAGTCTGTGGGTACCTTAAAAAATAAGGTTACACCAAATTCAAATTCATTTTGACACCACAATTCGTGACAAGCGCACCAATATCTGTGTTCTGCTGACTTTAATTTAAAGCTAGCACTTATCACCACATTTATTCCCTGAATACAATGTAACACTATCTTCAATAGTCACCGAAGGGTCTAAAATTTAAAGGCTATAAGAAATGAAACCACATTCGGTGAGTAAGATTGTTCTTGGAAAGACATTCAATCTTCCTGTTTAACATTTGGTTGACCATTGTTAGGTTTTTTAATCTCAGTGTGTTTTTTCTTTTAATTCTCAGTGTGTAAATTTTTCGAAAAATGGTTTAGACATAGATTTGACGAGAACGGCTTGCCATAGAAACACTCCACTTTTATGGGATATTTGTTTCAATATGGTGTAAACTTTGGTGTAACATTTCGATAATTTCTGCATATATATATCTTACACGGAGGTTACACTAATTCGAGTAGCAAGATGCACCTAATCCATACTTGTAAGTGTAAAGTTAGTGTGAATTCACTCCTAGGGTGATACATAACACGATTTATTGGAATAGATATCCTAAAAATGGTGTAAAGCTTGGAGTAACATTACATCTTTTTTACATTGTACACCTTACACGGAGGTAACACTAATTTGAGTAGCGATTCGCACGCAACCAACACTATTAAGTGTTAAATTAGTGTGAAATCACACCTAAGTAATACATAACACAATCTTTGGTGTTAAACACTCAAACACGCCGATTTTCTGGAATAGTTGTCCTAAATACTTAGTATGGTGTAACTTTTGGTGTAACTTTTCATTCTTTTTTTACAGTGTATTTACACCAATCAATTATTAACAAATCAGAGGACTTACTTATGAATACTCATGTCAGGCATTTTATGCATCGAGCGAACCTTCCTTTCAGTTAGCTGAATATCCGTCTGTTTGTCGTTTGTCGAAAAAGCATAAAGGACTTATTTTATAATGAACAAACAGAAAACATTAGAAGTAAACGTTAACAACTCATGCAGTTCAGAGCTTTAATCTCACCATCGAACAATCGCGAGAAATCTGCACAGGTCAGAATTGCGAAATGCCTATACCTCGGAAATATCTGACAGAACTATTTAGGATCATTCTTACTTTTTTCTAACAGTTGACAATGAAAAGGGTAGACATTAAAATGGTAAAAGGTTAATATGACTATTGTCTTAATGAACGCCATACTTTTTGGTTATCAAAATATATATACAAATTTGCAGGAATTTGTATGATCCATTATGTTCTATTCTGATTTAACAAGTATGGCATCCTATAATACCATGGATCAGTACTGTGCTTGTGAAAAAGGGAGACATAGGATGTAAACAATTGGGGAAAATTAGTACATTGATTTTTATATTGATTTTTAACTTGTTTATTTTCTACTTCAATGAGGACTTTGTTAGCTATAGTGCCAACAGATGGTAAAAACTAGGGGCGAGTATAGCTCAGAACCGAAGATACCTAATTGATACTCGACTAATCTATTGCCTGTTTTAATATAATCTTCTTCTTTTCAAACATGCAATATATTGAGATCGCATCAGTGATTTCTAATCATCACGCCTTTGTTAATGTGTAACAGAGAGGCGAAAGATACCAAAGGGACACTGTAATTGTTGTTTGATCTGGTTTTAATTAATAATCGATGGTATTCAATATTATATGTATTGATTAAATTATTGCTTATTAAATCAATTAAGACATGTATTTAATGATTAATTACACCTGATGTAAGAATCCTGGGTTTTGATTGGTTGATAGCCAGTGTATTTTTCACCAATTTACTTTTATCAAATGAATATCGTTCATTTTTAAACAGCGCCGGGGTATATGCAAAAAGGATATGCCTTTTTTACCCTCTCTGATGTGGTATTTGCCAAAAAATACTCTATCCGACTGGACACTTGTAATGTCACGATCATCAATGCGTTTTATGTCACGATCATCAATGCGTGTTGTACGTTAACATTCGGTGTAATTAAACAGATATAGCATGTTCTTGAGGGGTATTTTCGAATAATACCAGTCTTGAGAATGAATTTCCCTCGCCTTACGGCTCGCGAAATTTAACAATCTCTCGACTGATTTTTCGCAAATACCCCTCCTTAACATGATATATCTGTTCAAAATTAATTAAGATATATATAAATTCTTGGACACTGCACTAGTGCAGATGATAATGTGTCTACAGTATATCTTCCAGTGGACAGTGACCCACCAAGGGTAAAATTTATATTATAGTGTTTCAACTTTGTATATATTGTCCAAGCGGTTACTCGATTACCGCTCTAATAAACCAACGAGTACTCCACTAGTAATGCTTCACCGAGTTGACATCCCCATTTAAAATCAACCTGGGTGTGAATGCATACGCATAATAAACATTATTTATTTTGTAAAAATATTTCCTTTCTCTATTGGTACTGTACACGTATACCTAACAACAAAATTATTTTCATTTACCTGTGTTTAAAGTTATTGCAAATGTCTGATATTTTTGTTCGAGCATATTGTTTTTCTTTAATTGTTTAACATTTCTTACCGATATAACATGTTACTTTTATTATTCTTCCCTTGATTTATTTATTTTGTATTTACATTGTGTCATAGGTCAAATTTATTTGTTCAGTGTATGTTCAATGGTGTTAATATGTCCTTTGATTGAGTTAAGCTATTTCAGTTGATATTTTATAGTGTGTCTTTCTATGTTGTGATGTTACACCAATGTTTCAGGAAAAAGGGTAAAGGTTTGGTACCATTAAAACGTTTAAACCCGCTGCATTTGTTTGCACCTGTCCTAAGTCAGGAATCTGATGTTCAGTAGTTGTCGTTTGTTGATGTGGTTCATAAGTGTTTCTCGTTTCTCGTTTTTTATATAGATTAGACCGTTGGTTTTTCCGTTTGAATGGTTTTACACTAGTAATGTTTTGGGGCCCTTTATAGCTTACTGTTCGGTGTGAGCCAAGGCTCCGTGTTGAAGACCGTACTGTGACCTATAATGGTTTACTTTTATAAATTTTGACTTGGATGGAGAGTTGTCTCATTGGCACTCATACCACATCTTCTTATATCTACTAACTAAGTATAGCTCTTGTTTTGGAGTAGAACAGAAAAAAAAAAGAAATTGACGCTAGAATATTTATGAATGCAAGGATCTTACAGATTTTGTTAAAACTGTGTCCACTCTGTTAAGAAAGGTTTCTTGAAACTGAAATTACGATTTTCTTCCAATTTTCAATTTTCGAAAGACCACAACTTCGGCAATAATGCATATAATCAATAAGGCTGAAGTTTATCATATGACTCCAAATGCTGTATGAAGTTTTTGTTTTAACTCATTAGAGCCAATAATTGGTAGCACATTCTTTTAAACTCTTTTTGTGTAGTAATGGCTGCTTGTATACACTTAAAATACATCCAAGGGTGAGTTGGGAATAGGAATATGGTCACTTAGGTCTTTTTACGACCGGCAGTAACACCCTTGCCAAAGTGTGTCGTCCATTAGGCTTGTAGGGATGTACAAGTACGCAGCCACGTCCGGTCAGACTAGGGACGTTTAATCCGATACCCTTGCTTGCGTTGAGAGAGTGCCACGCTCTTTGCACTCTTTTAGGGATCTGTAGATCGCCTGTTGTAAGGTCAAATCTCTTTCCCTATCCAAAATGCCCACATTTTCAAGTGGCAGCCACAACTCCCACGACTTCATCTCAGACGGCTTTTATTTCAGGACCTATAACTATTGTATTTATCGTTAATTTATTCTCGTCTGAACATGCATTGAATACTTGCCACTGGACGTTAATCAACCAACAATCAATATATATATTGACTTCCAAGAAGCAAACCTTACCACTCGTAAGCACTATATGAATTTGAGCGCACAACATATTCAATGGTACGAAATCTATTTTTAGTCCAGTGCACAATATATTTATATTAAGCGCACAAAATTAAGAAAAATATAAAGTCCCACACAGTGCTCCGTAACATATAATGTTGACATTGATACAAATACAATTTATAAGTGATGCGGAAATATTCAAATATGTACCGGATTATCTTGCGTAACATAAGAGTATTCTTATTTCCTCTCACTTGAAAGGAATCATACGCATATATATCCAAACAAAGATGGGTGATGAAGGAAAAGGTATAAATATACATAATTATGGCAATTAATTTAGAATTTATACTTCAATATTGTATGCATATTTAATATTAATATTGATGATGATGATGATGATGATGATGATGATGATGATGATGATGATGATGATGATGATGATGATGATGATGATGATGATGATGATGATGATGATGATGATGATGATGTAAACCTGTACAAACATTTATAAGTATTCAATGTGTCAATAGAGGTAACCGGTGAGATCATATAATAATAATGACGAACGAACGTATTGGGAGCAGTGATTTTCATATTTGGTAAAGCTCATTAAATTCGAACAATCGACTAAAATACCCCTTGAAACCTCACAAAGTTTTCTTTATTAAGACGGGCACCAAGTGTTAAATGTAACAAAATTACCAACTCTATTCGAACAAAACGACAAACAAATACACATAGTCGATCACTGGCGAGATTCTTGACTTAAGACAGTAACATTAACAGGTGACTGGCTTAAACAGAGTACTTACCCCTCTCCCTTTTCCCTCTTTAATATCATTAGAATAACAAAGTAAAAAGAGTAAAAGCACAACAATAAGTTTAAGCATGAAGTACTTAGTTATGGCAAGCCGTTCTCGTCAAAACTATGTTTAAACCATTTTTCGAAAAATTTACACACTGAGAACTAAAAAAAAACACACTGAGATTAAAAAACCTAAAAACACACACTGAGAATTAAAAATTACACACTGAGATTTCATAAAAACGCACTGAGATTACAAAAAAATGAAAAACACACACTGAAAATTGAAAATTACACACTGAGAATTGAAAAATACACAATGAGATTTCAAAAAGACACACTGAGATGAAATAAACTGAAAAACACACACTGAGAATTTGAAACTACACACTGAGAATTTAAAATTACACACTGAGATTTGTGCGCACTTTTTATGCGCATATATCTAATTAGCATACTTAATCTGAATCTATTACAAGCTTAAAACAACTATGGGACAGAACTCGTTAGTCCTTCAATTTGACGCTAAATGTTTAAAAAAAAACATTAAAAATACAAAACTACGTAATAAAGACCAATAGAACAAGAATATATATTATATTTGAATGTCAATGTAGTTAATTAGGTCACCAACAATCATATCTCTCTCCATCTTGGCGATAAAAAGTTTTCCCTAGTTAGTAAATATCACACATTAGTCTCGTACATGTATATCTTAAATCGTAGAATGTATTTTGTTTACGTTTATATTGTTTAAATAACTCTCTTATAAATTGATTCCAGGTCTCGATTACATGTATACTGGATGCTTTAACAGAGATATAAGTAGGTTGGGGCTTCGTCGATATTATGAAAAACCTCAATGGTATATGTCTCCATTTGCTTGTATAAAATATTGCCGAAAAAGAGAGCCCAGTCAATTTGTTGGGATAACGGTAAGCACTCAAAGATTAACAAATGTATATTTTAAAACGAACTTCAAAGACCCAAAGAATATAGATGAAGATAACACTTCAAATATGCTATTTTATCAGCTCCTCAACGTTTGTATTAGGGTTTCGTTTTTTAAATATCTTGGCCTCGAGCATCACCAAAGAGACAGTAATTGTCGAAATGCGCATCGGGTGCAGTCAAATTGATACCTTTAATGCTAATTCTACCACTGGGTCGATACTTATGGTGGTGAACTGTAAGTTCTTCGGTTCTGGTATGAAAATACAGATATTGTTTTATTGATATTTGTTGTTATACCATTTTTCAAATCATTTGAAATTAAAAAAAATATCTAACTTGTGCATAGCTTTAATTCCTTCTACATCACTTTGGACTCACCAAAAATACAATTTGGTCAATCCGAAGTGATGTTACGCTCAGCTGGCGCTATGCGCACTTTTAGGTTTTTTAATCATACACACGAAACAATAATAAGGAGATATTTCAATTGCTTGAATTCAAAATTAATAAAAAAAAAAGTATAAGTTAACGACAAAATAAGTAATTTTCTAATATCATATTTTTTTTTAATGAACAGAAATGCATAATTTATACTTCATAAGCTAATATATGATTACAGAGTGGAAACGTCTGCAGTTGTGGTTATAACCGATACATCTTTGATACCAATGGACCTTTCAAAGTAAACGACACAGAGTGTGATATAAATTGTTTTGGTCACGAAATTGAAAAGTGTGGTGGTAATTCGACGTTTTCCATCTATGATATTGTAGCAAGTAAGCAGACATTATTCTTGTATGACATTAAAAGACAGCCCGAAAGTAAGATTTCGAATCAAAAAGTTTTCATTTCGGGGACTTGTATAGCTGACTATGCGGTATGGGTTTGCTCATTGTTGAAGGCTGTACGGTGATATATAGTTTCTAACTTCTATGGCATTTGGTCTCTGGTGGAGAGTTGTCTCATTGGCAATTAAACCACGTCTTTTTATTTTTTTTTATAAAAGGCCACTTCAAGTACAAATTGAAGACCATTTGGGGACCAAAAATTCGAAGAAAAGTAAATGAGAGGAAATTCCATGACACAATTAATTTATCAAAAGAAAATATCACTTTTATTACTGTTTTTTGTCCAAACAAATATGTTTATAATGTCTTTAAAATGCCAAAAAGAACGGAGTAAAGAGCTCCCCTTATATATTGTGTTGACCCATGAGTCAAATGTATCCAATACAATAAAAAAAAAAAAGAATCAGTTCTACAATTCGGTTGAAATTCAATATACATATAAAAAATACCAGTCCTATGAATGTTCCGGATTTTTTTAGCGGTAAGTGTACGGTATTATTTTACGCATTTATGTTGGTAACTGCATGGCATGCTGTGTTTCTAAAGTTGAAAGTTTTCCAATTATGAATTTTGAGATTGTTTTCCAATCCCTTTATCATTTATATGTAAGGGAGATACCATTTGATTTTTATGGGGGAAGGGGGCTACAATGAAATTCGAAAGAAAAGGGCAGGACAGGAGTTTTGAGTAAAAAAAGGCAGGATGAGCAACTTGGCAAAAAAAAGGCAGGATGACAAATTATGTAAAAAAAGTCAGGATAAACTAATAAAAAAAAAGGCAGGACCAAATAAAGTGAAAAATAAAAAGGCTATTCGTTTTCAAATATGTCCGAGTGAAAATTAACATCAGAAAGAAAATACATTAAACACTGTAACACGTTCTTAAGCGTCAGCGACTGCATATACAATTGGTAACAAACTATAAATTATCTTAGAAATATATTTATGGAAGTATATTCGACATCAATCCCGTAAAGCATACAGTACATTTGTTTACGCTTGAAATAAACAATTCCTTCATTGTTGTTGGTCAACTTTGAAGGGGAGCGTCATTATACTTGAAATGAACAATAACCTGTTTTTATGTCAATTTCAATATTACAGACACACCAAGACCATCAGTGCTACCACCAAGCCACATCACGTTTCCTCATAGAATCACTAGAGATACTGAGAATGAAGGTATTATAAAGAAACCGGAATACAAAACGATTAGTATCGTGTGATGATAACTTTTTTGTTTTCTTTTCTTTTCACACAGTTCAGTCGTAATATTTCAAAACTATCATTTTATAGTGACTTTTTGGAATAGTTTAAATTAAACTATATTAAGTGATATATTAAGAATTAATGCTAAAACGAGATAAATACACTGTTCTTTTTGTAATCCGTTTTGTTGCTTAATCTACCTAACACAAAGCCATATTTGCGACGCCAGTTCATCGAATAATTCATAAAAAAGATAACAGCAATCACCAAAAATACTTGAAAGCACAACACATCACACCTATATCTGACTCCTCCGAAAAAAATAACGGACATACGAACAACAACGAACAACTCACCATCCAAGTAGCCCAGATTGGCATAGGTACTACATGTGGTGGGTTTTAGCCAATTTTACGTGAACACTCTTTCTCTCATTTACTTATCTCTCACGTTTGTAGCCAGATGAAGATATACATCTTATTTGTGTGTATTGATATTAGATTTATGGAGGAAACAAGTTAAATCAAAATGAAATATTTCGATATTTTAATTTCCCTTGAAATACATTTGTACCAGACAAGTAAAACATTTTGTTTTCCTCTAAAACTTATTATTTGAAACGTGATTTACAAGTCTATCAATACCTGTGTTTACCATAATAGCGAAAGACTATATAAAGCTATGTTTTGTACATTGTAGGTATCATTGCTGGTGTTTCAGTCGGCTTGACTTTATTAGTGATATTGGCAATAGTAATCGTATTGATTATAAAAAGGTAAACGAAATCAATGTTTGAACAAATATTATTAAACAATTTACTCTTTTGTTAAAGGGTTTATCTAAGTAATTATATCCTTCTGTCATAATGTTAGAGATTCAGAAGATACTATTAAAGGAGATATGCGATCTCTAAAGACAAAAAACGAAAAACGACCGAAAGACTAAATAAACATCTGCGCCATGAGCGCATGATACGCCCGTCGTCTTGTGTGTGAATTTTTATGCAATAATCATATATAGTTTCTGACATACGGCGCGACATGCGAAACCCCCCTTTTTTTACAAAAAAACTCAATATCTCTAAAATAAAATTTTGAATCAAAACCAAAAAGTATACAGATCTTTAGATAAATATAACTAAGAAGTGTGTAATATTTTAAGCAATAATCATAAATCGTTTTTGAGATACGGCGCGACATGTGAAATCCCCCCTTTAAAAAAAAAATCAATATCTCTAAACTAAAATTTTGAATCAAAACCAAAAAAGTATACAGATCTTTAGATTAATATAACTAAGAAGTGTGTAAAATTTTAAGCAATAATCTTAAATCGTTTTTGAGATACGGCGCGACATGTGAAAAACCCCTCCCCCTTTTTTTACAAAATACTCAATAACTCAAAAATAAATTTTGAATCATCACCAAAAAGTATACAGATCTTAAGATTAATATAACTAAGAAGTGTGTAAAGTTTTAAGCAATAATCATAAATTGTTTTTGAGACACGGCGCGACATGTGAAAAATAACTCACACCTGTTTTAGTTACTAAGTCCAGTAACTCAAAAAAGTTTTAATCTTATTTTCACCAAAAAGTATACAGATCGTTTGACCATCATAAGAAACAACTATTTAACTATTTTAAGTTTCATGAAATTTTGATAAGTCGTTCTCAAGTTACGGTGCGACATGTTTACGCCGGACAAACAGACGGACAGATGACATTTGTATACCATAATACGTCCCGTCAAAATTTTGACGGGCGTATAAAAACAGTATACAAAACACAACATAAAAAAAAAGACTGTGCAACACGAACCTCACAAAATACAAGGGGGTGATCTAAGATGCTCTGGCTCGGTAAGCAGATCCTGATCTTCATGATGCATCCGTTGTGTTGCTCATGTAAGTACAAACTCTATAATATAAAGTTTAACTCGTTGATGTCACATACCAGGAAAAGAGGATGGTATTGCAACCGTTATTTAGATTGGTATTTGTTAGATCCGTTTATGGCATCTATTATCTTTGCCTTTCTTCTGTTTTTCAAAAGTAACCGTTTATAAATTACCAACTCGAGTGCGTTCATACCGTCGGAGTTTGGTTTCTCAATACAATTTTCTTTTTAAAATTGTTGCCTGCTATACATGTAGTAAGTAATATTGCACAATTTACAAATTAAACATGGAAAATATGATGAGGCGGTCAGTAATTTTATTTGTTGATATTTGTGTTACAATTAGATTAAGCTGTTAACTGATCCGTTACCAACTCCACGGGTGTCATTCGGTATATCGAGAAAAATGATCGTGAAAGATTAACTGACGGTGGTCAAGCATTGCGATCGGATCGTGAATGCAAATAAGTGTAATGCTACTGCAAAATATGTGAAAAAAATCTACTGTAATTTCAAAAGGTGGAACAAATCAGAAAAAAGAAATATGTCTGTCAAAATTATTCGGCTTCCTTAATAGTACTGTGTACTACGTTAAACAAAACATGCAGTACTTTTTAAGAAAACACAAAAGGCGACACACATACCTATGAGAATCATTAAGAAAAAATCACGAGTACGTTTTCACTTGAAAAAGTTCATATTATTTTTGAAAAAATATGATTTTGTTGATTTTTGTTCAAAATTGATCGTGAAAGATTAGGCAACGCATTATTTTGTTCATGAAAGATAAGCCGTGACCAGACTTAATGATCAGAAAACAACATTTCTTTTACCAATTGATATTCTTGTAATTAGTTGAAGCGTGTAATTACTTATAATACTAAATGCATCCACGAATGAGTGATTAGAGAGGGGGTCTGGTGGCTTTTCCTTGGAAATATCTTAATGAGTACGTTTTCGTAAGGATTAGATCAAAGAACCTATATCATTTAATTTGACATACAGGTATATTGAAGATGCTCTTTCCATTAACAAAACGAACTTTTTTGATTGGGTCTTATTTAATAGTCCTAAACTAGAGATTACAAACACGACCTATACAGCTTCCTCAGCCTCATTTTGAGACATTCACCCCGAATTTGACTACAGCGGTCATCTCAATACCAGCGTTCTACACCTTAGCAGCAATTTACCAGCTTCATCCGCGTATGGACAATACATTTCTCAACTCATACGATATTCAGGAGCTTGCTAATCAGAATTTGTTAAACGTCATCAGTGTCTCAGCAAAAAATTAATAAGCCAGGGTTTTGTGAAAGAACATCTGGGCCTTTTTCTCAAAATGTTTATTGGAAAGTACCAAGACCAAAGAGATAAATATTCAGTGTCTGCGTCACAAATAATACAGGATGTTCTTGAGTTATAGATTCTAGGTGCTGCCTCTGTGTAAAATTTTATCTACTTAACATTTTTACCTTTTTTTGTCTTTGTACTATTATGTTCCATTTGGTCGCATTAGTCTTGACGTAGTTCGTTATATGTGCATCCAGATTTCAGGTCTATGGCCTTTTGCGCTCTTTATGCGGGTTGGTCCAGAGATAAGATTCGGACACATGAGGTTTTAATAGTGTTGTTTTCATTTAGTAAATCCTTGTATTTATATTTTACATATTTTGTATTTTATCGGGAAAGTGTATATGTCATTATGCTTTACTATATTGACTGTATTGTGAACTACAAAAACTTTTTTTTGTTATTGCGTGAACCCCTTAGGGTTCACGCATATTTATTAGTTAGAAATATAGTCTATGGAGGAATATTCGGAAGCATAATTATTGTTCATTCGGAACACCTATTCATCTTATCTGTATTAGCTTCCTGCAATTAAGAGCACCTCCATACGGTGTATCTAAGATATTTAAAACATGGCAATAAAGAATTTTCACAGATCGCTAATTCACTTATCTGATATATGATAATAAACAATAATCTATAGATCCTTTTCAAACATGTATATTTATTGTAAAGCTACATTTTATGCATTGCAAGGGTTTACTGACTTGGGCAAAGTTGACAGTTGTACCCTTTGATAAACAAGTGAAAGTTAAATGGTCAAGATTTAATTATAACGACCTATGGTATCAAACATCTGTGTCTAGATAATCACAGAGAGATATTTTAAAATAGTGCTGTGGTTTCTACATAATGAGTTATAGCTATAGTGGGCTTTTGGGATTTGATTTGTAACAATAAAATCATTATGCACACTTGTCATTTTGACAAATCAGATAAAAAAAATCTGTTTCAAATGAAAATAAAACAAGTAAAATAAATAAGACTGTTCGTTAATATACATTTTTACAACTTTTACTGTTTCCTTTTTACAGTATTCTCTATATACATTTAATTCATTGATGTCACTATTATTTCAGTGACCGCTGCAGAAAGTCTTGACTCGTTCGAGAGACTACTGCATGCACATTAAATTTCAAGTCCCATGTTTTTATTTGCACCATGTATAAATGTTATGTACAGCACAAATTATTTCCTTTCTGTTAAAATCATTCTTGGACTTGTTAAGTATGCAAGCAAACACCAAACAGTGACAGGATAGTCAACCAAATGACGGTGGTCACTTAGTGGTAGAAGTAGAAATTTCTTATATTATTCACACACTGTAATGCTCTTAAATTTATGTGTATTTTGGATGTGCACTAGTGATTGGTAAATATTGATACGTTTCTGTGTTTTTAATATATGTGACTTAACATCAAGAATTCCATTATTATGGAACCGTTCACTTTTGTACACTTCGGTATCTACATAGAGGGTGATAAAAGGGAGGGTCTGAACACGGAAACACGTGAAATAACAAATCGCAAAAATGTTGCACGGAGAAAAAAAAAACACTCTGGAAAAAAAAGCCAAGGAATAAAATCGTAAATATTAAGGAAAAAAGTACCAACAGTTATTACTCAGCCGTTCTTGGAGATCATGCAGTCATTATAAATGGACATGGCGACCCTGCATGTGGTCACCTTTTAGCGTCCGTTAGTTGCATCCGATTTATCATAGTAATATAATAGGCTATTAATAAATATCTTGGGACCAGTTAATTAGTTTATAATTTAAAACAATATTTGGGCTGACTTTGAATTAGTCCCGGTTTACTTTTTAATCAGGCAAATGCGGGACAAGCACGAGAAAATAAGAGTACCGACACGAAACACTGAAAATAATTAAGGGAAAACACGAAGCACGCACATCGAACCAAACACGAGAAAACGAGAAATAAAACGTCGAAACACGGAAACACGTGAAATAAAAAGACCGAAAACGTTGCACGAAAATAACCCTTTACCACCCTCTAAATAGGCTATACTAGATGTCGACACCTCATATTAGAACTTAAGTAGATGGTCAATTTCGTTTGCAAGGTTAAAGAAATCTTCAACTTGCTCTAATTTGCCTGTGAAGACCATAAAACCGTCATCCCTATTGATAGTGTAATTTGATGTTTTCTCTCCATTGGAACTTATCTAAGAATTTAATGAGTACAAATTAATAAGACTGGTTGGTACGCTCCTATAATGTGTTTGTATAACAGTCTATTAAACTCAAATTCATTGTTTCTAAGAATTAATTTAACAAATGCAGTTAAATCTATTTTGTTGAGAATCTTTAAAGTATATTTTCCTGTGTGTCAATAAATTCTAATGCATTGATAACAATTTCTTCTAAATTGTCAATGATCATATTTGTCTACATTGACGTACATCATAGGCAATAAGAATACATACTTTTTTTACCTCGTGTGACTCTATTTTATAAATGAAATTTTTTGTATCTTGAATGTAAAAGTTATGCCTCTTCAATAATTGGATGTTGGATGTGTACTAATTGATAATTTAGTCTAAGATGCATGATTGTTTTAATTAGTTGTTAGTGGCTTTGAACTAGCTGTCAGTAACTGCGAGTACTCTCAGATCTGTGCTTAGTGTCTATTCGTTGTTGGGATATACAAGTACCCGGCCACGTTCACTCTGTGTAGTATTTCTGTTTGTATCCATCTGATGAGTTAAGCCTTTTTCAACTGATTTTTATAGTTCATTCTTATGTTGTACTGTTACACCACTGTCCCGGGTTAGGGGGAGGGTTGGGATCCCGCTAACATGTTTAACCCCGCCACATTCTGTATGTATGTGCTTGTTCCAAGTCAGGAGCCAGTAATTTAGTGGTTGTCGTTTGTTGATGTGTTACATATTTGTTTTTCGTTCATTTTTTGTTCATAAATTAGGCCGTTAGTTTTCTCGTTTGAATTGTTTTACATTTGATATTTCGGGGCCATTTATAGCTGACTATGCGGTATGGGCTTTGCTCATTGTTGAAGGCCGTACGGTGACCTATAGTTGTTAATTTCTGTGTCATTTGGTCTCTTGTGGAGAGTTGTCTCATTGGCAATCAAACCACATCTTCTTTATTATATTTATAATTAGATCAAGTAAGTATCTCTCGCGGGAGAGTTACACTTATTGATGATTGGTCGGTAACGAACATTAATGTGTCCTGCTAGCTGACCAGTTCGCAATGCCTCATTTCTTATTTCTAGATTAATTTAATGAATTTTTGGAAGAAGGTACATGTGTCCTCCATGTTTTGAATTATTATTATTCTTTAAGAAATTATACGTCTGGGAATCTTTTTTTCTCTCTCCTTGCTTTAAATTTAACACTTCTCTCAACATGCCAAAATTGTAATGATTTATAACAAAAAGAAAATATTATCCTCCATACACATGGCCAAGATAACACTAATATATAATTTCTTATTCAGTTGAATTAATAATTAGAATAAAAAAAGTTCTAAGGTTCACGTATTGTCTTTTTTTTTAAAAAAGCAACTTGTTGTCTTTGTTTGATTTAATTGTATGTGTTTGAACGTTTAATTCAGTTTTATTGGGATCCCAGATATGGCCACGTTAACTAATTATGTTTGTTTGGGTTGCTCACCAAATTTGGCAATATTACGGAAAATTAAATAATAGATATAAGAAGATGTGGTATGAGTGCCAATGAGACAACACTCCATCCAAGTCACAATTTGAAAAGGTAAACCATTATAGGTCAAAGTACGGCCTTCAACACGGAGCCTTGGCTCACACCGAACAGCAAGCTATAAAGGTCCCCACAAATGACTAATGTAAAACCATTCAAACAGGAAAACCAACGGTCTAATCTATATAAAAAACGAGAAACGAGAAACAATTATGAACCACATTAACAAACCAGGTTTATCCACCATTTTCTTAGAAAAACACCTGTGCCAAAGCAGGAATAAGACAGTTGTTTTCCTGCGGGTATTTTTTTAATCTTTTTGTTTCCAATTTGCTTGAAAAATCAACAAGGATTTTCGTTTTATAGATATGACTGTGCATAAAAAAAATGATGGAAACCAAATAAGACAATCTTAACTTTTCATACGACATAAAACTTATGCAGGGTGGACATTCGGACTTATATTGTTGTTAGGCAACTAGTCGATGTTGTATTATCATATAATCAGACCTAACAGCATTGAACCACCAAGGCCCTATTTACAAACAAAAGTGAAGCGGAATCAGTCATGCAAATTCAATCTTTTGCTATATCAATTACAAATATATAATATAAATTATCTTGTGTTTAAAAAATGATTTGATCGTTTTGGTGGAGTTTTGCAATAACGAATAAGCGGCAAAAGATCTTTCACTTTCCTTTTCACGATCATTAAAAAGCAGTACCCGATCTTTCACGATCCGAAATATCAAATTTTTACAAATATTCAATTTTTTGCAAAGTTTTTGATGAAGCTAAAACAAAATAACTGTAAGAACCATTTTAAACAGCAATATGAAACGATATTTTTAAGAGAACAGTTGTTTATGCATTCAAAATATGAAATAAAAAATCATGTTTGTTTACATTTTTATTTCTTTAAAATTTCGATGAGCAATCTGCCTTTTTTATTTTTGTTAAAACGGTATACTTTTAAACCTTAATTTTTCTCGGATACAGATCATAATGTTAAACCATTTTGACAGACAGTTTTATTTTTCCAATATTTGTCATTATAATTCATTAAATTAGATTATTTACTGAAGTTGCATGTATCTTATCGAAAAGATTTCCTCCACGATCCTATACCAGATCTTTCACTATCCAATCGCAATACTTGACCACCGTTACAATGTACTTATTCTTTCACGATCAATGTTCTCGAAATACCGAATGACAGCCGTGAACTCGAGTGCGTTCTTACCGTCGGAGTTAGACTTCTGAATAAAATGTTATTTTAAGAACTGTTGCCGGTTAAACTATCTCGTTTTAGTCGTTTTAGTTCCCTTTAAACAGTCATGTTCAGTAGTTGTCGTTTGTTGATGTGGTTTATAAGTGTTTCTCGTTTCTCGTTTTTTATATAGATTAGACCGTTGGTTTTTCCCGTTTGAATGGTTTTACACTAGTAATTTTTTGGGCCCTTTATAGCTTACTGTTCGGTGTGAGCCAAGGCTCCGTGTTGAAGACCGTACTGTGACCTATAATGGTTTACTTTTATAAATTTTGACTTGAATGGAGAGTTGTCTCATTGGCACTCATACCACATCTTCTTATATCTATGTAGTAATTAATATGGAAAATATGACGAGGCGGTCAGTAATTTTACTAGTTGATATTTGTGTTGCAATTAGATTAAGAGGTTCACGAATCCGTCAAATGAATAGTACACAAATGTGAAGTAAGTGTCCCGGTCTTATCGTATTTTGCTTTCTTTGATTGAAGTGAATTCGAATTAATGCTGAATCTTCATGAACAGCCAATAAAACACCACTTGATAGATATTTTCAATAATGTCTGCAAATATTAAGTCTAGTACATAGTTCTCGAAATAACCAAAGCTTTGCTAAATATTCCAATGGTATTTATCCGCTTGAACTAACTCTTACTTCAATTATATCTTACGACAACAGTGATTGTTGAACTTTTATTATATAAATTGATGCACGAATTTCTCACTGTTGTTGTCTTTGTTTGATTAAATTGTATGTGTGTTTGAACGTTTAAATAAATTTGGTTGTATGTCTGTGATACATGTGCACACAGTTTTGGCTGCTGGATGATCCCAGATATGGCCACGTTAACCAATCATGTCTGTTTGGGTTGCTCACCAAATTTGTCAATATAACGGAACATTAAACAACTGTCATACAAGTGGGCGTTTTAGCTAGCTAGAAAACCAGGTTTTACCCACCAGTTTCTTAGTAAAATGCTTGTGCCAAGTCGGGAATATTGCAGTTGTTTTCCTGCGGTTTTTATCAATGTTGTTGTTTCCAATTTAAAAAAAAATCAACAAGGATCTTCGTTTTATAGATATGACTGTGCAAAAAAAATAATGGAAATCAGATGAAACTATCTTAAATTTTCATACGACATAAAAGTTATGCAGGGCGGACGGACGGACTTATTTTGTCATTACGTAACTTGTCTTTTGCTTTCTTTGATTGAAGTGAATTCGAATTAATGTTGAATCTTCATGAACAGCCAATAAAACACCACTTGATAGATATTTTCAATAATGTCTGGAAATATTAAGTCTAGTACATAGTTCTCACAAAAACCAAAGCTTTGCTAAATATACCAATGGTATTTATCCGCTTGAACTAACTCTAACTTCAATTTTATCTTACGAAAACAGTGATTGTTGAAATTTTATGATATAAATTGATGCACGAATTTCTCACTGAAATCGTAACAATTTTTTTCACTAACATTTCCTAACTGTAATCTCCTTCTTCATGAATATGCATTTCTCTAATACATTTTTTTTTTGTATGATACGCGAGTCTTTTTAGTTTTGTATCGGAATTAAATTAAAGAAATGTTTTCATTTCTTCTAGATACTATTTAAGGCTTCCTATTTAATAATTATATTTTCATTTTATGTTTCAGGTCTAGGTCAAATGCAAAGAGATCTTTGCAATCCTGTTCCAATACGAGTGCGTCGGTGAGATATGACAACATCCAACAATCTCTACCGGGAGTTTACAATCCGTATGCGACACTTACCGTTGCCAATGATTGTCAGACCTATGATGATTTAATGCCTACAGAAATAACATATGAAAATACCACAAAAATGGCAACACACTATAATGAATCGACACAAGACAAAAAACACAAGAAAAGAAGGAAGAAAAGGACGAAAAGATGATTTTATCAAATTGATTACGTTCTATGCTTGAACGGCAGTGACCAGAAGATGGTACCTTTCCAAGAATAATCGCATCCCATATTTTCAATTATTATATGCTCAAATACTCATACAATCTGATATTTTCAAATACAATTGATTTAATGAATTGACAAACAACACATATGCTTTTCTTTATGACAAATAACAATACATTTCGAGCAAAATATTCAAGTTTTTTTTTTATTTTCTTCTTCACCTTTCAAACAGTTTGCAAGAGTGTGAAATCTAACAGTCTAACAAAATGGTAAACTAATATTGATAATTTATTTCCCTGATCAACTTTAAACTTATCCTTAAACATTAAAATAACAAAAGTCAACCATGGCCACTAATGAGGTTCTTTGAGTAGGCACATATAATGTGTCAAGTTAAAGTAGTACATAGAAGTCTCACGTGTCATCATTTTAAAAAATTGAAAACAACACGTTTAAAAATTTCATGCGTCCGAAGCGCTTTTCTGGATTTACCTTCATCAGGAACGCTCAAAGCCAAACATTTGAAATCCGAGGGATGAATAAGTACCGAAACAGTTGAAGAGCTATATGACAAAAATACCTAAAACAAATAGCCAAATTCATCTAAGGTCAACTTTGCCTGAGAGAGTTGAAACCTTAGTTTCTTTATAATTTCAAAATTTAACAACGGACAATTTTAGAAAGGTTTGTTATAAATCATGTCAGTACCGAATCTAGGTTTCTGAACTAACAAAAGTTACATAAAAGAAAAAAACAAAAACAAAAATTAAAACAGGAAAAATCACGTAACTTCTTCTACAGGTATAAACTATGTCACAAAGACACAAATACGAACAAAGCGATAATAACCAACACCCTACTAACTGAAAGAATGCTGATAGTAACTAAGAGCAATGTCAAAGTTCTTAACATGCTGGTATGAAACCTGGCCTCCTGACACCTAATAGTGCGGTTGTTCTTTAAAAATATACAGATTTCATACAGCAACATCATAAATACTCCAAAAATGTCTACAACAAACCTGTACAGATTTTCTACTTGAAAACAACGAAAAGAACATTAGGTCTTGCTTTATTACATTATTGAACACCACAGTATAATCATAATCTACACGAATAAGTGTTTTAGATGGAAAGAATGATTCTCTGATTCGTTTTAACTAGCTCTCACTTACAAAATGTAGTCTAACACTGCCACATTATAGCTTCGTGAATACTCATTTTCGTCTCCAAAATACAAATACAGTCTGCAGAGACAGATATTCTTGGCGATATCGCAGAGATCTTTCTAACATGACATCAGACATCGAAACGGTATTTAGTATCGAACCTGGCAGATCTAACTCTTTTTCCAAATAGAATATCTCCTCAAACACCGAAAACATTGTTATTAATCTCCAAAAACCATTAGAGTTAGAGCAAATTCAAAAAGTGGAAATCTTTTGTCACTTCTCAGGTTGGTTTGTTACATTGAATTAAAACGATTTTAAAAGTCCTTGTAGGAGGTAACTCTTACCCTAATTTAAAAATCCCTTCCTTCTATGAGTTATTATCCCTTGTCAAAACAGGTGTCTGTTACAATTGTTACATCGGAAATCTTATGTCTTAAGTCCAACAGGCAAACATGTCGCTAATTCATAGAAAGAAGCAAACAATAAGTGTGTGGTGACTCTTATAAACGTATTGTCTATCAGTCGATTGTGATTGATTGATTAATTGTTGCTTGCCTACCGTTCAATGACAATTAGCTGATGCTTATTCAGGATAAGAAACCATTAACAATTAGTATGATATGTAAGTTCTGGGGTCTGTTGTTCGACTTGTCGTTAAGCTAATCAAATGATTTACTCTAATGCATCGTTAAATACTAATCATTTGATTAGCTAACGCAATGATTAAAATCTGTTGCTGAGTTTATTTTAATCATTGCATTAACTAATCACTGCATTAAATTTTAATCACTTGATTAAGCTAAAATTAACACCCATTATGCGAATATGCTCTAAATGCACTTGAGCAAGCACCTAAACTTCCTGCCAACTGCATACAAAATGGAGGATACATCAAATCCAAAGAAGCTGCTTAGATTGAGAAAAACCAACTTTTCCCAGTTGGAGGAAAACATCCTGCAGACAGAGGTTGAAAAAAATTATGCCACAATCAGGGAAAAGCATAGTACCAGTACAACTAACCAGGAAAAAAATAAAATATGGACCAACATTACAAACAAAATAAATGCTCTTGGTGTTGCCAACAGAACCCAGAAGGAGGTGAGGGACAAAAGGAGGAACTTGACAACAAAAGCTAAGTCGGCCTTCACAGAGCATAGGAGAGAGATAAATAAAACTGGTGGAGGTCCAGCCCCCAAAAAACCATCTTCAAGTGTTGAGAGGGTTGTAAACATGTTACAGGATTCAACAAGCTTTTTCTGGAATACAGGGAGGAATTGAAACATCATGCGTTGAATGCTTTCCTGCAGGTATATTTGTGTTCCTATGTTTTTTATTATATTCAAATCAACCTCTAATATCTTTTTTAATTTTACATTTCCACTGAAAAGAAAGAAACTTAAAATGTATGAGACCGACTTTCTCCGACTATCGTCTGCTCTCCCTTTCTGGGAATTTCCCTTTGGTACTTTGCTAAAAATAGTATCTAAAAATAGATATGTACTACAACGCTACTATGTCGTAATGACTAATGTGCATGAAAGAATGCACATCAAAATAAAACTGCTTAGTGAAATTTTAAGGTTTTAAACCTTTTACTATCCACATATTGATTATCTATATAGGTCATATATCAACGGATCAATGAAACAAAAATCGGAATGATTGATGGAATATTTGACCTAAAATTAGATCGGTCTCTGCCTAAATCAGTTTTGTTACGTTTTTCAAATTAACTACGGACTCCGAGGAAAGTATACCACACTGGTTACTTTGCTTACTCATGAAAATTTACCATCTATTAATTCAGCGTGAACTTTCCCATCTTCATCAAATTATTTAATGTATTTAAACAAAATCGCAACCATGCGCCTTTGCCTGGTAACTAAAATGTGCAAACATAAGGCAACCAGTCAGTTATAGTGGGTTTACGACAACTCGTACCTTCGTCAAATCGTACCCAATGCCAAACTAGTTTAATTCTGTGAATAGGAATAAACTTCATTTCCTTTGGAGGATGACATTCGAAAAACCATCTGAGATCGAAATAAAACAACAATGCGATTGAAAAAAAAAATATTTCTTTATATTAAAAAAAAAAAACAAGAACAATTGCGGTTTTTTTCTTATTACAGGGACAATTAAATATATCCATTGAAAATTTAGGAAAAAATATAAAATGCATGTTTTTTATAAAAACAAAGTTTTTTATATTAAATTCCGGAAAAAATGTTCCCCTCCCCCTACAAAAGAAAAACCAACAACAACCACACTATTCCCTTACAAATAAAAACAACCATGATAATTTTGATTTGCAACATCAAATTGAGACTACATACTCATAATTTAAAATTTGAAGAATACCACCAATCTACTAAACACTTTATGAAAACAAGACTAAACAAAACTAACACAAACAAAATTCATGGTTTTTAACTCTCCTGCTCCACACGTGTTACGCCTATAACATTTGTACTTTTTTGTTTACAACTCATTTATATTTTCAGCAAATGAGGAGTCAGACGATGATGAGATTGAAAATACTATCGATGTCCAACCAGAAGTATTTGCTGTTGCACCTACAAGAATACCTCTTTCGCCAATGATATTAGTTAACTCCTTGCCTCTCAATACCACAGTTGGGCTACCCAGCAGACCTGTAACTGCAATGAGTGAATCCACCGAAAATATATCTGTTCCAAGTATAAATGTTATTAAGAAAAGAAGACGTGTAACCCAAGATGACGTTTTTCAAATGCAAATCAAAGTCTTGAAGGAGCAGATGTCATTATACACAGAACAGCCACCGCTGGTCAAAGAACAGACAGAAAAAGAGAAAAAAAACAGACAGAAAAGGTTGCCATACAAATTCAACTGCTGAAAAAGTTGAATGAGGATAATACTATTCCTCCAACACTGACAGGTTCTCAAGTAGCTTACCTTGCTGCCATGTCATCTTGTTTTGAAGATTCTTGAAAATTTCTTTTTGTTTTAATGATGTTATTTTTAATTGTTACTGTTCTATTTACTTTATAAAAAAAATTTATTACTTAAAAGATTTAGACGCTGTCGAAAGAACAATTTTGTTCATTCTGTTATCTTTTCAAAGTTACACAAGATATACTGTAAATATAGAAATATATAAATTCAGATGTTTTTATTATCGCAAAAATTTTCATGTTAAATTTTCGTAGTATTATTGTTTGTATGCAACATTTCCAGAAATGATAATGAATGCCCCCATTAATAAATACATGCAATAATTTCAGAATTTACAGTATATGTATGTACAACTAAAGGATGGTCATCATGATAAGAAAATGTTAAAACAAATCTGGTATGAAAGTTATTCTCAACTCATTTTTTTTATTATGAGAAAAAAAATGTTGCATAATGGTTCCTTATTCCTCGGCCATCTTGTTGTCCCATGTATGGTTGTATCATTTGGTTGTTCCTCTGGAATATCATCATTATCTATTATTGGTTCTTTCAGCATCATGGCTATATTGTGTAGAATCGCACACGCTAGAATAAATTTGCATGCTCGAACTGGTCTCATCCTAATCTGTAATTAAACCATGTCATTTTTTAGAATAGAGACATGCAAATGGAATGGTTTGAAACATTTCCTAAAAATTGTAGTCTCATTGATTCAACATGTTGTGGAACATTCATCAAGACGCTCATGGTTGTCCCATAAACTTAATGATATGTGAAGTGTGTAAGTCATCGGCCCAGTATTTACATCCCTTTGACCTCTTGAAAATGTGTCTAATCCTTATAATTTTCAACCCAAACATTTGTTCAGGTTTTCTTATTTCCAACGGCTGTCTTTGATTTTACAGAGATAGGAATGACTAAAATGCGAACCCCTAAGAAGACCCCCAAAATGCAAAAATTGTGTTTTTGGCATTTTTTTTGGTAGTGATTTAATGTTCTTGAATTGGGTACCCAAATCCGCACATTCAATATGTGATGATACAGCTTGGTTAATTTCCTCCTTAACACTATAATCCACTCCATGGTGGTACATCTATTAGAGGAGGAAAGAACAGATCATACATGTTACATTAAAGTTTGCTTAACATAAAAGATTAAAAAAACAGGATGACAGAAGAATTTATGGGTATACTTAACACTGAAACAAACAAAAAACTATTCTTATATACTTTCTTACTGATACAATCGTTGGCCAATAGAACATTAACAATGGATACATAAATTATGCCGTTAGTTTTCTCGTTTGAATTGTTTTACATTGTCATTTCGGGGCCTTTTATAGCTGACTATGCGGTATGGGCTTTGCTCATTGTTGAAGGCCGTACGGTGAAAGGGCGTTGATATGAAATGATATTTTAAAAATGAATGATTTATGGAAATTTAAAACAGTAAATTATGTTTTTATATTACCAGATGTTGTACTTGAATGATTATTTTTGAATTTGATATATATTTTACGAGCTATCAAACTTGAAATCGAGATCTTCATTATATAAATTTCAGTTTAAGGACGTATAATTGATTTCACCTGGAAATATGCTGTTTGAGACTATTCTTCAATATAAACACTTGCATAGTTTGTTCTTATGTTGTTACTCCACTGTCCCTGGTTGGGAGGAGGGTTTGGCGCCTACAAACTAGTTTAACCCCGCCACATTCTGTATGTGCCTGTCCCAAGTCAGGAGCCTGTAATTCAATGGTTGTCGTTTGTTGCTGTGTAACATATTTGTTTTTCGTTTATTATTTTGTACATAAATTAGGCCGTTAGTTTTTTCGTTTATATTGTTTTACATTTGTCGTTTCGGGGCATTTTATAGCTGACTATGCGGTATTTGCTTTGCTCATTGTTAAAGGCCGTACGGTGACCTATACTTGTTAATTTCTGTGTCATTTGGTCTCTTGTGGAGAGTTGTCTCATTGGCAATCATACCACATCTTCTTTTTTTATATCATTTCGTTGAATTCACCAAATATACAGTTTGTACTAATAGTGATAAGTTTCAATTCAATGGTTGTCGTTGGTTGCTCAGTGTCAATCATATACTTTATATTGAACATTTAACTAATTGACTGTAAATTAACTATGTGTAAATATCTGTTTTTGATTGTATTGTAATTTGTATGCGAGGGCCTCAGGGAAGATTAGTTTATTGTAACTAACTGAGTTTACCCTCTTTAAATAAAGAATTTATTATTATTATTATTATTATTATTATTTTGTTTTTTTGGTTGTAAATCAAGCAGCTGATTAAAAAAAAATGTTACACAGTTTTTCATATCGGAGTCTTTTATTGGCAACATTATATGGTATGGTATACTATTGCACCTTGTAGATGGCCGTACGTTTCTGATTGACGTTTATCCAACATTGGATAAATTAGCTATGAAATAGCCAAAATGCGTATTTTGATCGAAAATCTAAAAGATGCTGCTTATTTTACTTCGTTGAATAGTTATCAATTCAAATGTGCCTCAAACAATTATAAAACAAGAACTTTTCCTGATAGATTGGTCCAATTATTGAGATGAATACTCAGGTATAAAAATAAGAAGGTATTTGGACAATTCTCATCAAGAGACCAACATGACACAGAATTAGAATTCCTGAATACCCATTAAATATTTGCTAATGTGCATTAAACAAACGAACAATCATATAAATAATGCGGTGACAAATTTTAGATTTGCTTATCAAGTGTAAATTCAACAAAAGAAGCTTTCTAAATTTTGCTGGTTTGATCTCCATCCATGTTTATAGTTTGCAGAACATTTATTCATGTCCTCTACACTTACTTGAAATAATAACTTATATGAACAGTATTTATTCGTTATGCTTACACCGGTTTTCAGAAGTCGAAATCTTTGTTTCCAAATTCCAAACGTTCTCTCAATTGTGCATCTTGTTGTTATACGAGCTCTATTAAAGTTCTGTTCCCTCTGCTCTCTTGGTTGCCTAAACGGTGTAAGCAGAAACGGACGACATGGGTAACCACTGTCTCCTAAAACAACACCTTGTTCGATACTGTTATACTGATCCTGCAGATGGATTCCAACTGCAGAAGTTTTAAAAAACATGGGCGTCATGACATGACCCAGGCCAGTTAGCACTCACATTTGTAAAGAGGCCTAAAATTTGAGATATGAATGATATACTAATTATTTATCTGTATATCATGAACAACAATTCATAGATCATTCTTGATGGTTTTTGACCCAAATAATAAAGTTGTTTATTCTTTTGGTTTACTTTTTTTTCACATTTTGTCATGTCGATTCACTGATATATATATTCTTGCCTCATCGGCAACCGTACCACATCTCTAAAATGTACCCGGCTACGTCCACTTGTATTTGTAGTATTTGTATTTTTATTCATCTAATGAGTTAAGCCTTTTTCAACTGATTTTTATAGTTCGTTCTTATGTTGTATTGTTACACCACTGACCCAGGTTAGGGTGAGGGTTTGGATCCCGGTAACATGTTTAACCCCCTCACATTCTGTATGTATGTGCCTGTCCCACGTCAGGAGCCTGTAATTCAGTGGTTGTTGTTTGTTTATGTGTTACATATTTGTATTTCGTTCATTTTTTGTACACAAATTAGGCCGTTAGTTTTCTCGTTTGAATTGTTTTACATTGTCATTTCGGGGTCTTTTATAGCTGACTAATCGGTATGGGCTTTGCTCATTGTTGAAGGCCGTACGGTGACCTATAGTTGGTAATTTCTGTGTCATTTTGGTCTCTTGTGGAGAGTTGTCTCATTGACAATCATACCACATATTCTTTTTCATATAGCTATCAGTAACTGCGAGGACTCTCAGATCTGTACTTAGTGTGTTTTTGTTGTTGGTATATACATGTACCCGTCCACGTCTACTGCATGGGTGTTTTTGTTAGATGTATTTCTAATTGTATCCATCTGATGAGTTAAGCCCTTTCCAACTGATTTTTTTATAGTTCGTTCTTATGTTGTACTGTTACACGACTGTCCCAGAATAGGGAGTCCATACCAAGATTATTTTCAATACCATTCACTATCCAAATTTACCGGTAAATAGAAGAATTTGAGAACATTTTTTTGTTTGAATAAAGTCTATATTTTTTTTCTATATTATACAACAAGATAGAATGTTTTGGTACAAAAGACATTAATTTTTGTTTTCGCCTCGGCCCGCTCAGCTCAATTGTTTAGAGTCAAGTCATAAGTTTCAACGTTCTTTGAATAATGTATTTTTATCTAAAGTTAATTAACCGAGTTCTTTGATTAAGGGTACATATGAACATTGTGCTGAAATTGTCCATGAATGAAGGTGTGGATCTGAGACTACTTTGTGTTATAGTAGTCTCAGTGTGGATATAAATGTCAATGAGACTTTAACGCTGGCATTTTCCTTTAGCTCCTTCTGACGGGGTGATATATTTCACAACTTGCTTACTAATCATGTCTGTAGTTGGTTTCAGAATTCATTGAACATAGTTTATGTATATCGGTCTATGTATAACTGGTAAAGTAATTGGCAGGTACTTGTTACCACAAGTAAAAACTTATTCTTATTTTAGTGTCTTTGGAAGCGGGGTCTTGAATTTATTTTCCTTCCTCAAGATGGGACATGAAAAAAAAACAGATAAATTCCACTGTTTTCTCCCATCCCCCACCCCAATTGAAAGAAAATGACCAGTCCCTAAGAAAAAAAAGTTTCTGCCTCCGACCGCAGTTCGTAAAAAAACAAGTTAGAGTTACCTCGCTTTTAACTGAAACAAGAAGCGACGAGGGGGGTTTTTAACGACCTTGACTATCCATAAATAACTCCTTTATAGAAAAGTGACGTACCGGATGTGTTGAAACAAGACAAAGTTTAAGATGAAGATGGACGAAACGCAGCTTTGAAGCTCAATCCCATTAAATACTTACAATTTTGGTCACAAATTCCTTGCACATTCACACTGTGAAAGCCTTTGAGATTGACAAAGGTTGGCTCATCATCTGCGGGGGCTTGAATACGTACATGTGTTCCATCGACACAGCCAATAACATTGGGGAAGCCTGCTTTTTCATAGAAACCATTTTTTGTTGCATTCAACTTATCCGGCGTACAAGGCCATTTAATAAACTGGTCCCTCTTTGCAATTAATGCATCAGTAAATTTGGTTAAAACCCTCGACACAGTAGCTTTGTCATGGCCCATAGTGTCACCTATTACGTGAAGATGTGAGCCACTGGCAAAAAAACGAAGAGAAATCATCACCTGCTCCTCAACACTCAGTGCTGTGCACCTTGAAGTTGATCTTTGTAGATCATCTCTGAGCAAGTCTGAAATGTATTCAATGCTCTCCCTTCCAAATCTAAATCTTTGGCGCAACACTCATCCGAAAAATTCATTTGTAGGGGGTCTTGGCCCCTAAAAACTCTTTCTTTTCTAGGCAAAGGTCCTAACTTCCATTGGACAACATCCGCCATGTTGAAATTAATAAGGTGATTAATATTTAACGCAACGATTATAGGTGTTTTAGTTTAATTACAATATAATCAAGTGATTAAGGTTAATTACAAGTTGAACAACAAACTAATCGCATGATTAAATTTAATCACATGATTAGGCAAATTTAACGCAATGTTAGTGCTAACGACAAGTCGAACAACAGACCCCTGCAAGGTAAGCTGACCTAATTAAAGGGCGGGAAACTTGGACTACAACTATAATAGCGGGTACATGTATGTTGGATAGGAGCAGAAGACCACCTATTGACCCATGAAAGAGTTATGGTTTAACGTGCAAAATATCCTGGTGCAACTTAATGTCAATTGTCATGGAAACACCTTGCCATTGTTAAAAAACAATTGTACAGCTATGTACACATTTCCCTTTGACATAAACGTGACTTAAGTTGGGTTTTTTTTAACATGTATTCGTTATCACTGGAAATCAGTTGGTATTGACAGATTTTTTCTTTCTTAAGATATACACTATTTTCCTGAACTTTAACTGTCGCATTCACATTACCCACATAACAGCTGACTTATGCGTTTGCGAGTTTGAATGTCATTTTTGGTATTCTTCGCCTCTCTTCTTCTGATACACAATTTGAAATGAAATGAAGTACAAAATAGAACCTTTTCTGATATCTATAAATAATTTCTGTTAAACAATTATTATAAGTAAAACATGCAACAATTATAAATGAGAATACCCAATTTAAACACTATGCATGTATTTATGTTTAATTGAAGGTATGAAAATCAAAATCACTGTTCTAAGGAAGAAGAAAAAAATGTTCTATATTCATGATATTATTCACTTTAAATAGGTTAAATTGAGAATGGAAATGGGGAATGTGTCAAAGAGACAACAACCCGACCAAAGAGCAGAAAACAGACGAAGGCCACCAATGGGTCTTCAACACAGCGAGAAAATCCTGCAGAGGCGGGCTTCAGCTGGCCCCTAAACAAAAATGTGTACTAGTTCAGTGAAAACGGACGTCACACTAAAACTCCAAAACATATAAATGAACTAAAATTAAAAAAAACATACAAGACTAACAAAGGCCAAAGGCTCCTGACTTGTGACAGGCGCAAAAATGCGGCGGGGTTAAACATGTTTTGTGAGATCTCAACCCTCCCGCTATACCTCTAGCCAATGTAGAATAAAAAAAACACACAGCAATACGCAGAGTAAAATTCAGTTCAAAAGAAGTCCGAGTCCGATGTCAGAATATGTAACAACAAAAGAAACTAGTAAGAAAAATGACAATGATACATAAATTAACAAAGGACTACTATATAATCAATATACGCAAAGTGCGAACCGAGAAATTGCTGATTATATTAGAATATTTGTGCGCTTTTTAATTTTTGAATTGACTTTTCTGAACCGTTAAAAGTTCGTATGAATGATTTGTGGTACCTTAAAGTGTTTTCACCCCTATTTCCCTGGTCATTGATATTGATATCATACACGTATATATGTTTGTCTTATATAATCATGATAATATACTAATTTTTTTGTAAACGATGAAAATTAATTACACAGTTTATGGAAGGCAGATATGTCTTGATAGTAGTTTCATCACTGAGCTACACAATGTTTTATAAAACATGAAAATGACACGTCTTTACAAATTGTATGCGCCATAGGCGCATTTCTATGATCCCCTTCACCGGGAACGCTTAAGGCCAAACAATTGAAAGCAAAGAATGTTTAAGTACCGAAACACTTGAGCCATCTAAGGTCAACTTTGCCTGATGGAGTTGGACCCTTAGTTTCTTTATAATTTCTAAATTTATAAACGGGCATTTCAAGAGAGGTTTGTAGTAAATCATGTCAGTACCGAAGCACTGACTCGGTTTGATGATATTAACCTCGAGGACTAATAGTGCTATCAAAAATAATAATAACACTTTATACATTGTTTGCGTCCGAAGTGCTAAGGAACGCTCAAAGCCAAAAATTTAAAGGCAAAGATGTATAGTACCGAAACTCTTGAAGAGCTATATATATATCCAACGCAATCATAGGTTTGAACGTTGTTTTCAATTTAGACTTATTTATATTTTTTCTTTTGGGCTTGTATTATATTTGCCTTCGGGTTTATATAATCCGTTCATCCTATTTCGACTCTTCAAAATTCAAGAGTCTATCCCAAATTGAGGTAAATTTAATGGCCTTCCAAATACCGTTTCGATTCCTAACATCACTGAAGAGACATTAATTGTCGAAATCCGGATATGGTGTACAAAAACCTTTGCACCTTTTGTTTGCGGTATATCATCTTTTCCGCAAGTTTATTGTTTTCTGTTTAGTATTAAATTTAAGATTAAGATCCATTTATTACATCGGTGATCCGTTTATTTGGCAATCGTCAATGGCAGTCAGCAGGGTTTAAGAACATTTGTTGTTCGACCTGCTAGTCAAATGCGTTTTGTTAAAATATACTTTTTCACTATTTTGGTCTTTTGGAAAATGTTGTTTGTGCTGTATTTAGACCCCTCTAACAAGAAATTTGTTTTGCATGCACACGTATAAAAATTGCGGTTTTTTTCCAACGCAATCATAGGTTTGAACGTTGTTTTCAATTTAGACTTATTTATATTTTTTCGTTTGGGCTTGTATTATATTTGCCTTCGGGTTTATATGATCCGTTCATCCTATTTCGACTCTTCAAAATTCAAGAGTCTATCCCAAATTGAGGTAAATTTAATGGCCTTCCAAATACCGTTTCGATTCCTAGTAACATCACTGAAGAGACATTAATTGTCAAAATCCGGATATGGTGTACAAAAACCTTTGCACCTTTTGTTTGCGGTATATCATCTTTTCCGCAAGTTTATTGTTTTCTGTTTAGTATTAAATTTAAGATTAAGATCCATTTATTACATCGGTGATCCGTTTATTTGGCAATCGTCAATGGCAGTCAGCAGGGTTTAAGAACATTTGTTGTTCGACCTGTTAGTCAAATGCGTTTTGTTAAAATAAACTTTTTCACTATTTTGGTCTTTTGGAAAATGTTGTTTGTGCTGTATTTAGACCCCTCTAACAAGAAATTTGTTTTGCATGCACACGTATAAAAATTGCGGTTTTTATCCAACGCAATCATAGGTTTGAACGTTGTTTTCAATTTAGACTTATTTATATTTTTTCGTTTGGGCTTGTATTATATTTGCCTTCGGGATTATATGATCCGTTCATCCTATTTCGACTCTTCAAAATTCAAGAGTCTATCCCAAATTGAGGTAAATTTTATGGCCTTCCAAATACCGTTTCGATTCCTAGTAACATCACTGAAGAGACATTAATTGTCGAAATCCGGATATGGTGTACAAAAACCTTTGCACCTTTTGTTTGCGGTATATCATCTTTTCCGCAAGTTTATTGTTTTCTGTTTAGTATTAAATTTAAGATTAAGATCCATTTATTACATCGGTGATCCGTTTATTTGGCAATCGTCAATGGCAGTCAGCAGGGTTTAAGAACATTTGTTGTTCGACCTGTTAGTCAAATGCGTTTTGTTAAAATATACTTTTTCACTATTTTGGTCTTTTGGAAAATGTTGTTTGTGCTGTATTTAGACCCCTCTAACAAGAAATTTGTTTTGCATGCACACGTATAAAAATTGCGGTTTTTATCCAACGCAATCATAGGTTTGAACGTTGTTTTCAATTTAGACTTATTTATATTTTTTCGTTTGGGCTTGTATTATATTTGCCTTCGGGTTTATATGATCCGTTCATCCTATTTCGACTCTTCAAAATTCAAGAGTCTATCCCAAATTGAGGTAAATTTAATGGCCTTCCAAATACCGTTTCGATTCCTAACATCACTGAAGAGACATTAATTGTCGAAATCCGGATATGGTGTACAAAAACCTTTGCACCTTTTGTTTGCGTTATATCATCTTTTCCGCAAGTTTATTGTTTTCTGTTTAGTATTAAATTTAAGATTAAGATCCATTTATTACATCGGTGATCCGTTTATTTGGCAATCGTCAATGGCAGTCAGCAGGGTTTAAGAACATTTGTTGTTCGACCTGTTAGTCAAATGCGTTTTGTTAAAATATACTTTTTCACTATTTTGGTCTTTTGGAAAATGTTGTTTGTGCTGTATTTAGACCCCTCTAACAAGAAATTTGTTTTGCATGCACACGTATAAAAATTGCGGTTTTTATCCAACGCAATCATAGGTTTGAACGTTGTTTTCAATTTAGACTTATTTATATATATATATATATATATATATATATATATATATATATATATATATATATATATATATGACCAAAAGGAACCTTAAATAATAGTCATATCAATCTAAGGTCACATTTATTGCACACATTTCTTAGAAGTAAGCGCAAAGCGATTCCGCTCTTCATACAAAATGTGCTCCGGTCAACAGTTTTACACCCCAATACAATTACAAAAAGGAGCATTCATTTCTGAATACAACTTAGAAACTGTCATCTTTCATAAGATAATTGTTTGTTTGGAAATAAAATTTTAAATGTTTTTTTTTTCTATAAGATCAACATTTAATTTTTCTTAAGGTGGTACATAACACTACAGGGAGATAACTCTGTAAAAATCAGCTGAACGTTTTAATCATTTTCTATTGATAAGGAAATATTAAGCTTCTCAATGATAAAAATTAGTGTTTGTCAAACTGCTATATGGAACGGGGACCCAGTTATTTCCCCCATTGAAACGCATTGAAAATCATAGTAAATAAATGGGGTGCTGTCCAATAAATAATTTTGATAGCCACCTTGGGACTTCTGTTTCACGTTAGGCATTTGTTTCGAAGTTTCTAAGTGCAATCTCAGTGCCTCATGACCGGCATTCCGTTGCACAATTTTGTTTTGATTGACAACAGGGTAGGTCGGTCTACTTCCGGGGAAGAATAAAGGCTAGAATTTAGGCAATTTACTCTATGTACCGACGCCAGATTACATTTAA